TATGTAACAAACCTGTACATTGTGCACATGTACCCTAGAACTTAAAGTATAATAATAATAATAATAATAATTAATAATAATAAAAATAAAAGAACATTGTATTAACTTTTCCTTCTTTGAAAAAGAACTCTTATAGAAGCCATAATCAATATTTTCTATGGTATATACCTCCAATTTCTATTAATACAGGAGTCAGTCCTGACCATTCATTGCTGATGCTGTTGCATTTCACTGTGTTCCTATAAACCATGGCATGAGGCACTGCAAAAGTCTATGTTTTTGTACAACATGTAGAGGCACTATCACTTTTGCCCCCTTCATTTTAACATGTGTGATCATGGAAATGATTGCTTAAGTTTTGTCCACTGTTTTCACCCAGTGCTTAGAATAGTACCTGATAAGATACACAGTAGGCTGCACATAAAGAGATATTGATAAATGAATTGATAAGGGTTTGAGAGGTAAAGTATGGAAATTAACAAGATGGTATATGATTGTCTGCAATTCATAGCAAGGTACTGAGATGCATTTCAGGGATCCATTCCTTCCCTTACTGTGGCATTTCCCATTTTTCTCTACTGTTAGGGCAAAGCTCTCCCCAGTATTCTTGGCTTTTCCCCTGACCAACATCAAGGTTCTTAGTTGGAAGCAGCAGAAGCAAAGCCTAGATAATTTAAGCAGAAAATAAATATTGAAAAGCTATTGAGTAGTTTTCGGAAGATTGGAGAATCAGTCTTAGAGATTATGCAGCCAGAAACAACATCTAAAGCACGCCCTGGAACTAATCTAGGAAGGTCACCACTACAGACAACACTGAGCCCTCAAAGCAGGCACTGGACATGCTGCCAGCCCTGCTGCCAGGTCGGCAACTTCAGAAATGCCATTGCCCACAGACTTTCCTGTGTCTGTTGCTTCTCTGCCTTAGTGGCTCCTAATTCAAAGTGGGGGTAGATAGGCAGGTCTGATTGGGAGCACCTTGTCACATGTCCATGCCCTACTGCAAAGGGGGCCACTATCCAGCAGGTTGTGCTTTTCAGAGTGTGAAGTGGGCTCAGCCTCCCTAGGACTCCTCCTGGTTGCCCTGCCTCCTTCTATAACCAGACTTGTACCAACCAAGTGCTGGAGTCAAAACATAGTTAATCCCTCCTGACATCCCTGGAATGTTGTGAAAAGCTGTGTTATGCTGAGAGAATGACTGTAGTACCATTGAGTAGATGTCTATCAGATAAGTTAGAGAAGTTTGTACTATCTTGACAAGTCTAAAATTGATTCAAAATGATAAACATTTTAGCTTTCAAAAGGTACTGTTAATGTATAAACACAAAAATCCAGGAAATATATATGTGGTTTTACATTTATGTATTTTTATACACAAAAGCATGTATAAACATATTTCTTTAAAATTTACACATGAAAGCATGTTTCTTAAAAATGGCCCTCTTTTCTAAGATGAGCCATAAAAAAAGGTATGAAAAGAATCTGGTGAAGAAAGGTGTTCCAATTCGGTGTCCAAGACTCCACGGGTAATCTCTCCAGAATGACTACCACACAAGAGGAGAAGTTGATGAAGACATCTCACTGGAATTCATTCGGTTCAACAAAAACAAACATTATTTCCCCTTGTGCTCACTCTGGAATAGTTCAGCAAGCTTCTGTTTACTTAGGGCTATAACTCCAAAGCAGCAAAATATAAAAAAGCACAGCTTGAGAAAAAATATAGCAGTACATTCAAAACTTTCTTAACTTGTTTTCTTTCAGTAGGTTCTGTTTAGCTTTTCCTTTTTTATTGTTAAAGTACATATATGAATGTACAGTAAGTTAGCATTTGTTTTTTGAAGGTAAGCATGGAATTATTCTCATGAAATAGCATGTATTTGTTTTTATTGAAAAGTAAGATACTTTGTGTATATCTCTTGTGTTGGTTTGTTTGCATCTCAGTTTGTTTATAAAGGAAAAAGCCGAATTTTGTATATGTTCAACAATGATTTGTGTATAGTATTATTATTTAATAGCATCTGACTTCCTTGGGTATGACTGACCAGCCTTCTCTGATTCAGAATACTTGGGGAGGAGTATCATGTAGAGACAGAGGTAGAGAGATGCCTTCTCTTATGTGGATAAGGTGGGTTAGCAAGTTGCTATTAATTGACATCTACCTACTCCCTCGTCATACAACCAAATGAGGAAGTATCGACAACTAATGTGCCTCACTAGAACTCAAAATGGGCTTTCCCATAAAAACAAGGTTTATACAAAGGTGAATATGTAGAGTTTAAAAAGTAAAATGAGAACTACGTTATGGATTTAAAAGGCCTGGGATGTGATTCACATTTATTATTTATGTGATAAAAAGTTCCTGAATGCTAAGAAAAATGAACAGACTCTGCAGGTGTTAATTTTCTTGAGACTTAAGAATCTGGCTTCATTAATAATTAGTAATATTTTCTTCCTTGCACTTTTTATTTTCATCTAAAGATTGCCAGATCAGCTGGGCACAGAGGCTCACTCCTGTAATCCCAATAATTTGGGAGGCTGAGGTGGATGGATTGCTTGAGGCTGTGGGGTCCAGACCAGCCTGGACAACATAGCTACGCCCTGTCTCTACAAATAATAATTTAAAAAGTAGCTGGGTGTGGTGGCGAGTGCCTGTACTTGGGAGGCTGAGGCAGGAGGATTGCTTGAGTCTAGAAGTTTGAGGTTACTGTGAGCTCTCATAGTGCCACTGCACTTCAGCCTGGGCAACAGAGTGGAACCTGTCTCAAAAAAAAAAGATTGCTAGACACTTTGCAATTCTCCCTTATTACTTGTTCCAGAGTCAGTTATATGTATACTAAGTCATAGATGCTTATCTTTATAGATATAAATATATGATTATTCATATTCTGAGAAGCTTCTTTTCAACTTATCTAACCTCATACACCTAGTTAACTTAAGGGTGACTTGAGAGCTGGGAATGGAGGCGAATTCTTTCCCCAGCTACTTAGGAGGTGGGATACTGCTTGAGCCCAGAAGTTCAAGATCAGCCTGGGAAACATAGCAAGCCTTAGACTCTTAAAAAAATTTTTTTTTTAAAGAGTGACTTGGGACTCTGTTATTTTGTTTGCATGTTATTCTATTTGCATTTATTTTGTTATTTGTTTGCATTTAATTTGTTATTTGCATTTAATTCTAAATATGAATTAGGAATTTTTAAAGAAATAAAAAAGAGCTATTATATAAAATATAATTTTTCTCTCTTTCCCACTATCTTTTTATTCAGGTTTCATAGGAATTTCTGCCTGCCCATAAATATTATCTACATTAGCTTGAACAGATACTTGCTTTAGGGAACCATAGGAAAGCACAGCATGGCAAAAGTGAAAGGGTGAATCCTGTGTCCTTTAAATTTGTATTTCATGGGTTTATGAGAAACTATGATAAAAAATTGTTCTAAGCACTTTAGGCTTAGTGGGCAGCTCAGCTTGCTGATCTGGCTTTATGCACAGCCACAGAGGGACCAAACCTATTCCTAATCACTTCAGTCACTGAAACGGGCCCTAGATCAAAGTATTGTAGCCTTAAATTTCATCAGTAACACCACTCCTCAAAGGCTTTTTCAAAAAGGTCATGTTGACCATATTACTGCTATGTGTTATGTGGGAGAGGAGAATGCATTTAATGTATTATAAGTCTGCAGGAGGCAGGGGCCCCTGGAGAAACCAGAGAGGGATTCTGATGGAAAAAATAGAGGAAGGAAGCAAAGGAGGGGCAAGACAGCATTGACAGGTTGGAGCCCCTTGAAGAACCTGGAGACCAGATACCAGGTTCTGAGAGAATCCTGCAGTCGTGGGCATTCTGTGATGGCGCCATGTACTGACATCCGCCAACCCAAGAGCAGACCATTGCAGAAAAATATAATTGTCCTGAATCTGCTAAAGAGGAAGTAAAGTCAGTTTCATTTTTCATGAGAAAAGTGGAAATGATAATAATCTTTTCCTCCCTACCTGCTTCCCGTTTTTCCTATTTGCTGTATTTTGAGTTTTGGTTTGACTTGTCTAAACCTGTTGTTAACAGAAGGATTCATATTTTCCTCAAACTTTCCATCTTAACTCTACTTCAGATATCTCAGTTCTACTTGCTTTCCTACTTAGATTACAAAATGAAAGAAACAAAAGAAACTTTTCTAAACCTATATTTAGTATTTCCCTTTTTAAATAGTAAAAGTAGGCCAGGCGCAGTGGCTCACACCTATAATCCCAACACTATGGGAGGCCAAGGTGGGAAGATCACTTGAGCCCAGGAGTTTGAGACCAGGCTGGGCAACATAGTGACACACACATACACACACACACACACACACACACACACACACACACACACACACAAGAAAGAAAGAAAGAGAGAGAAAAAGGAAGAAAGAAAGAAAGAAAGAGAGAGAGAGAGAGACAGAGGGAGGGAGGGAGGAAGAAAAAAAGAAAAGAAAAGAAAGGTAAATAATAAAAGTAAATATATGTTGCTTTTAAAACAGTCAAACCATATAGACAATGAAAAGCACAAAATGATAAGCAAACACTCCCCTCCCACTCTCAACTCAGTTCCACTTGCCAGGAATAACCTCTCAGGAAAATAATAATAGTAATAATTGATTGAAGATTTCAAATCCACAGTATTCCAAATTAAAGTGCTGCATAACAAAGGAATGTTTTCTAAACTAACACCTGCATAAGCACAGGATGGATATAAATTATCAACACTCTTATGTATCTGGGTCTGTAGACTAAGAAGTCAAAGGATCTCAAAGCCTTTCCAAGTCTTCTTCACTTCACTCAAACAGGGGGACCTGTTAATATCTCAGGACATAAGAGCTAGACTCAGACCAGAAGGCAGAGAACTTAACTGACTATTGCTTTCACATTAACACCCATGTCGTGGAGCTAGAGGTGCTCAAAGCTACCCCCTGAAATGCTTGGCCCTCATCCCAACCCCCAGACAATAAGTTCCCTCTTTTTCTCTCCCTTTAGGAAGAAGACAAGCCTACTCTATACGTGTTCAATGCTGTAACTCAAGACACAATGCCAATAATGGAGAGCATTTCCCTTCTTGATAAAACAGTGTCTGATCTGAGAACACTGGTAACTCTGAGATGTGGCCTCCCTGTGAGTGTCTACTGTCTCCGAACCCCAAGGGGCCTGGAGATGTATGATTGCAACACCCTCAAGGACTACCAGACTGATATTGGTACTGCCCAGTATATTTGATATCAGCTACCATTTGGCACTAGGGTCCTTTGATACCAGATTTTGCAGCTTTTCAAGAGAAAATGGAAATCTAGGATTTTTATATACAATCTGTTAACTTTATTTACATACTCACTTTAAAACAGTTAATACATTTACATGGTTTAAATATCAGAAGTGAAAAAGGATGTGTAGTGGTAAGTCTCCCTCCCTCTCCTGGCCCTACAAGCACTTAGTTCCCTCCTCATGGGCAACCATTATTGTTCTGAAGATTTACAATCAAAACCATTTCCAAATTAAATCTGAACAAATGGAGGCATTATTTCTAAATGGAAACCTCTGTAAGTTCAGTGTGGATATGAATTATCAACATTTCATTCTTGGGTCTGGGTCTACAGACTAAGAAATAAGGAGGGTCTCATAGCCCTGTCACATCTTGTTCTCAAAGCAGATTCATTAATATCCTCAAGGTAGAAGAGCAAAACTCAGACCACTTCATCTTTTTCTCTTTCAAGATACACTTCGGGCATGTATAAATGCAAGTTCAAGTACATATTATTTTTCCCTTTTTTAATGCAAGGCAGCATATGATACATGCTATTCTGAACCCTGCTTTGGGCAATTTCATCTTAAAATGTCACTGGTTATATTAAAATAATCTTTTTAACAATGTGACACCAATGCTATACTGGCTGAAAGTATGCCTTAGTGGAATAGCATTTATCCCTGATACAAATTACAACCTCTCTCTAAATACTATACCTTGGCTGGGCATAGTAACTAGTGATTCATACCTATAATGCTAGCACTTTTGGAGGCCAAGGGAGGGGGGAATCACTTGAGCTCAGTACTTCAAGACCAGCCTAGGCAACATAGTGAGATGCTCATCTGTACGAAAAAAAAAAAAAATAGCCGATGTGTTGGTGCACACCTGTAGTCCCAGCTGTTTGGGAGGCTGAGGTAGGAGGATCACTTGGACCAGGAGGTTAAGGCTGCAGTGGGCTGTGATCACACCATTGCACTCCAGCCTGGGTGATAGCGAGGCCCTGTCTCAGGAAAAAAAAAAAAAAATCTGTACTTCCAGGTCATGTCTACTATAGCCAAACATCAATAAGACAAAGAAAAAAGCTGTCAGATTTGTTTTAAGAATACTAAAAAATGATTGGACAGTACAGAGATGATTAACATGGCCCCTACCTGATGATGACACGCAAGTTCACGAAGCATTTCACATTTTTAAAAAATGGTTGGAACCTTATAGAAATTATTACTTGAAGTAAATGAATCCTTGCTGACAATTAGCACATCCTTAGTTGACATTGTATTATAACACTGCAGTGAAATTTGAGTTCTCCCAACATATACATAGGGCTTTGTAGGTATCCTTAGTTAAGCAGTTTTGCTTTATATAACTGCTAAATTTGCATTTATTGATACTTCTCCTGACTGTTATATTTGCTTAGCATTATTCTTTCCTGTTATTTTAAATTAAGGCTCTCAAAACTTTAACATAATTTTTTTCCTTGTTTTTGATCAGGGAAGTGAAGTTCTACAATTTCTCCTCAGAGTACTTTGCTATAACACACATACCTGCTCTGCATGCTTGCTGGAAGCTGAACCCTGCCTAGAACATGATGGGGGCTTGCATAAGGAAGGGCACACAGTGGCATCTGTCCCCAAGCAACTGATAATCTAGTTATTTAATGAAGTACCAAAGGATGAAACAAAACTAGAATAAACTCTGGATGACTATTCTTCAGGCCTATACTGCTCAGATTATAATGTGATGTTTTAAGCTGGAAGATAATTTGAATTGACCCAACCCCAACTTTTATAGACTTGAAAAAAAGTAAATCATCTGAATGATTAAATTACTTGCTCAGTGTGTGTCAAAGACAACATACCTACTCCTTAAAATGAACTTTTGGGAGTAGGAACTTTAGGAAATGATGAATGATGGTGTTCAGATATAAGGTTAAGGGTCTAAGCATGACCTGAGTAACTTGCTTTGGCCACCATGAGAACACAGGGCATCAGAGGACCTCAAAGGGAAGGGAGGAAGGGCTCTTTGGCCTGTTTCATATGCTTCATACCTTTACCTAAAGCATAACTAGTATTCCTTAAGTAGCCAGCTCACCTTTTTTAAAACTAGAAGGTAAAAAGAGTCCTTGATCAGCTTCTTGTACAGGATCTCTCTTTCTAGTCAATAAATCATCTCTGCTGCTATCAGGAGTTGAACCTTGGCCCCTTTTCCAGAGGCAGTGGAAAATCAGAAGGGTTTGGAGAAGCAGTCATGTCCAGGTTGAAAATCGAAGATTTAAGTAGCTCAATTAATCACTGCACATACTAGCTCATACAAACATTTACAAAGCTGCCTCTGCACTCTGGGTGTTTTTACAGTAAAGTGATAGAAATGAGACATGTATACACACTCAGTTAAAATCCAATAAGTCAGCTCAATGCGGGCTGAAGGCATGCAGGAAAGGCATTCTGGAGAAAGTGGGACTGGAACACACAAAGATGTGGGAACTATGGATCATCTGAGAGGAGGTAGGAAAGACATTCCAGGGACGGACAGAAAGCAGGAGACTGTTCTGGAGAGTGGAGGAGGCTTCCCGAGAGCACTAGCAAACACAGCTGAGGGCAGAAAGAGGAGGATCTTAAGGTGAGGGAACACAGCTCACACTTGCTGTGGCTGCAGCCAGAGCCCTGCACCTTCTGGAACAGGAGTGTTTTTTGTTTTGTTGTTGTTGTTGTTTGTTTTTGACTCGCAGTCATGCTCTTGTTGCCAGGCTGAAGTGCAGTGGTATGATCTCAGCTCACTGCAACCTCCGCCTCCCGGGTTCAAGCGATTCCCCTGCTTCAGCCTCCTGAGTAGCTGGGACTACATGCATGTACCACCACTCCCAGCTAATTTTTTTGTATTTTAGTACAGATGAGGTTTCACCATGTTGGCCGGGATGGTCTCCATCTCCTGACCTTGTGATCCACCTGCCTTGGACTCCCAAAGTGCTGGGATTACAGGCATAAGCCATTGCACCCAGCCTAGAACAGGAGTGTTCTAGGAGAGGTTTGATCCGGTAGCAGGCAATATGAAATATAGAAAGGAGTGAGGAAAGCCTGCAGGCAGGGTGATACAATAACTGGCATGTTCGATAATCCCAGTATTAATTAATTTCTTTAGCAGTGGAAGAGACAAATCTGAGAAACACAGAAGGCAGAACAGGACAGAACATCATGCTAGATCACTTTGTATTGAGACAGGGTCTCACTCCATCACCCAGGCTGGAGTGCAGTGGCACAACCTCAGCTCACTGCAACCGCTGCCTCCTGGATTTCAGTAATTCTCTCACCTCAGCCTCCTGAGTAGCTGGGACTACAGGCGCATCCCACCATGCCTGGCTAATTTTGTGTGTGTGTGTGTATTTTTAATACAGACAGGGTTTCACCATGTTGGCCAGGCTGGTCTCAAACTCCTGACCTCAAGTGATCCACCCACCTTGGCCTCCCAAAGTGCTAGGATTACAGGAGTGAGCTAACACGCCTGGACCTAGATCACATTTAAGTAGAGGAACGAATCAAAGTTCTCACACTAGGACAGTGGTGGGGAAATTGAGGAAAGGAGCTACGTTCTGGGTTTTAAGCTTTAGATATGAGGAAACTCAGAGAGTACTTTTTAAAAAAATGTTACTCAGCTGGCCAGTTAGTGGCAAAGCTGTAAGTAGAGCTGAAGTCTTCTAATTTCCCTTCACTGCAAACATGGAGTTAGTGCTTGACTGATGGTTTGGGTTAGCAGATACTGATCCTGCCCATGTAGGTGGAGGCTGAGCCCTGTGAGGGGTGCATTCCTCAGAGAGTAAATATAGAGGGGAACATCTTAAGGGCCAATGGCTGGCACTCAGGACATGCTGAGGTCAGGGCAAGCACACAGAAGAGTCAGAAAACGAGACACGGAAAGCTGTCAGAGTCAGGAGAACTGGAACTTTGTATGCAACAGATGACGAGACTGTTTTCAAGATGCTGGTAAAAGTACAAAGACAATTCTGAGATTAAAAAAGAAAGAAAAAAAAAAGCCTTGGATTTGCTTTAAAGATCTTTGGTGGGCTCAGAGAGAGCAGCTTTAATAAAGGAGATGGAGAAAGAAAGATTTCAGGGATTAAGAAGAAGATAAGTAACAATGGGATAAGGGAGTTCTGGTGGTAGAACATCTAATGACTAACTTATCATAAATCTATCATGATAAATATACCTAATATGTGTGATTTTGTGACTTGAGGCTTAGTGGCACATCACATAGGTCCAATACATACATATACATGCAGACATACACACACGCACACACACCCCTAGTCTTACATCAACCTATATGGTACCAGGTGTTCATTTTAGCCCGGCTTCTAGCTCTGAAATCTCTGCCCTGGCTTTTGCTTTCCCCTTGCTGATCTACATGCTTATGTGCTTGTTATTCTGTTTTTACTTCACATATATTCATAAACTGTCATTCATCCTTTCTGAAACAAGGAGTACCTAAACAAATGAGTGAATGAATTAATGCCTTTTCTTTACAGATGATACCAATTGGTACTCTTCACCATAAACACCTCGTAGAATGTATTCGTGGCTGCCTGCGCACATGGCGCCTGAGAAACCATTCCAGGAGCAGGGTTGTGTCAGCTCAGATCCTGAAATCTGAGCTGGCTCCAGGGTCTTTTTACCAACCTTTAGGCTCATGGAGACCTATGGTGCCATTTTAATTCCTTTTATTGATGAGAAAATTGAAGTTCAGAGAAGTTAAGTGATCTGACCAAGGTCACACTGCTAACAAATGATAATCATACACCCAGGATCGGGTTTTTTCTAACAATTTATATTGCCAAACCAGTATGCCTTTATTGATGACCTTTAAGTTCTAATCAATGTTTTATTTTATTTCTTCCATCAGAGGAAGCTCAAACCAGAGAAACAATTTCCAAATTCAGGAAGAAAAAGTCCAAATCAGATAGGCATAGATTGACTCCTGGGGTATGAATGAAGAATCCAGAAACTTGGGAGTCAGGGGCCACATATGGAGAGGTTGAGGATGATTGCCTAAATAGGCACTGTTGCTGCCATCTGCTGTCCTGTGTGACCTGGGCATAGTAGATAAGTTTGCAAGCACAGAATGGACAGATTCAGGTTTTGTAAAGTTAACACAGTTTTGTGGGTCCTCTTTTAAAAAATCCAAAACTAAGACAAGAACATTAGAAAGCTCTATAGAAGACAGCAAGGGGCCCTAAAGCTTATTAGTTTTCCTCTCTCTTCAGTAATAGGTTTTAGTTGTATTTTCTGGAGCAATATAGCATTTTTCAAGTAAATTTCTATTTCCCAACAGAATTCCTAAGCTTATGAAGGAATTTAATATCTGACAAAGAGGGCATTACAAAGCAACAGGGGTGAAAGGATAATCTAATAAACAGTGCTGGCTGACTTGTTTAGAAATTCTCTGGATATTCAAAAGTTGAGCATTATCAGGACTGTTTCATTGCAAGGAACTGAACTGATGGTTATAATACCTGTAATATTTGCTACTAGACAGGGAATTAAAATGAAACAAAATGCAGGACCTGATGGAGGTGCCCCATCAATGTTAAGGAGATTTAAATCGTACAGTCTCCTCTGTAGTTTTCAGAATCAGGTCTCATTTAGCAGTAGGCAGGAGGGCTAGAGAGAGCTGAGACTCTGAGGGTAGGCAACCATCCGGAGAACAGGTAAGCCAGGAAAATCCCATCTATAGACATCTAGCAGTGGAAGGTTAGCCTCAAATAAGTCCTTCTGGTGGAAGTCCTGGAAAAGGCAAGTCAGTCTGCAGCTGTCAGTTGGTAAGGCCAAGGAAGGCAGAGGGTGACCCTCAGGGAGATCCAGCGGGGACCTGGTGAGTGAACCATAGCACCAAGGTAGTGAATGAATGAATGAATGAATGACACAAGAGGCAGGAAACTAGATAAGGTGATGTTGACATCAGAGGCTCTGATAACATGTGATAGAAATCTAACCCCAGAGATTAGGGTTTACAGTAAGAAATTCAGAAATGGAACCTTAGTCTTAAAACCCAAAAGGTAGGGTAGAATATTGGGATTTACAACATAGGGCACAAAGTGGGGACTTGCTCAGGAGGAACAGAAGTGACAAGAATATCTGACCAGGATGAACAGGAACACTGACTTCCTACCAGCCCTCTGAGTTACTGGCCTACATCTTTTTATTTTAGTTTTTGTAGAGATGGGGTCGCGCTGTGTTGCTCAGGCTGGTAAATTCCTGGCCTCAAGCAATCCTCCCACCCAAAGTGCTGGGAATACAGGTGTGAGCCACTGCACTGGGCCCCTGGTCAAAATCTTAATAAATTCCCTCCTACAGGAATTGTTCTGTGGACCTGGGGCTGGCTGGTCCTTCAAATGGAGACCGTGTAGCCTCAGCTGTGGAGGACTAAGGAGGCTGGGGTACGGAGCCAGGCTAAAGCTTTCTACTGCTCATTTGGGAGTGATTTTCACAATAAACTAAAAACGTAGATCATTGCAGCAGGAGATAAAATAAATGCACTTGGAGTGGTGTTTAAAGTCCTTTGTTTCCAGTCCATGAGAATTAAACATTTTGTGAGAAGGTTTAAGTACAGCAAGAAGCTTTAGAGAAAATTAATCTATTGTAGGAAGTATGGTCCATATTTTGGAAAATGTTTATCAAGGTATTCCTACAGAATAGCTGCAGGACCACTACTTTACGTCTACAGAATAATTCCAGAATTCTCCAGCAAGGAGAGTAAACTCTCCTAGCTGAGGTCCAAGTGATGAGGATCAAGGCAGGTGAGGGGGATAAGGGTAGTAACGCAGGTCAGGCCTATAAGTAAACAAGTACGTAAATAGGAATCAATTCACAAAGAATAGCAAGTCCAAGGTCAAGAAATCCAAACCAGAGTAAGGAGTAACAGAGGAAGAGCCCCATTTCAAGATTGCAGGTTATAACATAGAATGTCCAGTAAGGGAGGGACTGGCAGGGAGATATCCTTTGTTGTGTGTGTGCAGAGAGGAAACAAGAAGGAAAAGAGAGGAGAAGCAGAAAGGAAATAATCAGAAAGGCAACTGAAAGGAGGAAACTCTCTAGGCATTAGAAAGAAACCTAAAGACAAATTCCAGGGAATTCTGGAAATTCCCTGCTGGCTGAGAAGCCTCAGGCAAGTCACCTATCTCTGAACCTCAGCTTCCAAGTCTATAAAAGGGGGCTGCTGAGTGGGCTGGTCTTTTAAGATCTATCTTCACCACTCTGTGATTCTAAGATTACTGGTGTTCTGAAATCTCAGCCAACAAAGATAAGCACAGTTCAGAAACCACCAAGGCCAGAAACAGCCTGGTGTGCACAGGGAAGTGCAGGCCAGCCTGCCCGGTTAGGAGGGCAGAGCATGGCCAGAAGAAGTTTGGGAGTCCAGCAGAACTTTATTCAACAAATACTTACTGAGTGTCCACCATAAGCCAGGCACCACTGTGGAAAGCAGGCATAGTGGCAGTGTCCCTACCCTCCTGAAGCTTGGATCTCAGTGGAGGAGGCAAACACCATCAAGCAAACAGAAAAATTTCTCATTTTAAGCAGAGATTGAGAGCTACGAAGTAAAAGAAGGCAAGAAAATGGAATAAATGATGCAGTAAACTGATGGGAGGCTATTTAGATAGCTGGTCAGGAAAGAAGACAACATTGAGCAGAGGCCTGAATAAAGAAGCGGAGGCTGCTGGGAGCATCGCAAAGTAGATTTAGGTGAAAGATTATCTAGGTCTGAAATAGGGCAGCGCTGGTTGAGATGGAGGCAAGGAGTTGAGATGTTCTTCAATATTGATCAGGTAAACTTGTCAGGCCTAAGCAACCGTTCAGATGTAGGACATGAAAAAAAATGGGAAGGATGTTGGGTGCGGTGGCTCACACCTGTAATCCCAGCACTGTGGGAGGCCAAGGCAGATGGATCATTTGAGGTTAAGAGTTCGAGACAAACCTGACCAAGGCGGTGAAACTCCTTGTCTACTAAACATACAAAAAAATTAGCTGGGCATGGTGGCCTGTAATCCTAGCTACTTGAGAGGCTGAGGCAGGAGAATCACTTGGGTGACAAAGCAAGACTCCATCTCAAAAAAAAAAAGGGGGGGAAGGATGAAGAAAAACTCTCTAATATATGGCTTAGGTAGCAAAATAGATGTACCACTCACTGAGCAAAAAAAAAAAAAAAAAATGTAGGAGAAAAAGCAGGTTGGGTGAAAGATAATGAGTGGTCTTCTGGAATGATGGGGTTGTAGTGCAATCCCTCCATTGGTAATATGGCCAGCAGGGGGAGTCTGGAGCTGGAGCAGAGGCTGGGCTGGAGATTGGGACTTGGGAATGAGTGACACCTGGGTGGTCAATGAAGTCATCATCGCCACTAAGATTGACAATTAATCAGACATCAAGTATTTAGTGAGCACCTACCAAGTGCCAGGCTACACGGCAAGTCCTGAAGGAATTTTCTTCTTAATGGGAGCATGAAAAAAAAAATCTCCAAGCAAGTAAAATGATTCCAAGTACTGATGACAGAGGCAATAAAGAAGTTAACATCATGAGATACAAAATAATGAAGGTGAGGAGATAGTAATGGCAGATATTGCTTTAGCTATGGTTGAAGTGAAAGATGAATAAAAAGGACACAGTCCTGTGAAAATCTAGATGAAGATCATTTCAAGCAAAAAATTGTAAGTCATTAGGTCCTGAGATGGGAGTAGATTTGGTGTGAGGACAGGTGAAAGGTCAAGGTGGCCATAATAAATGAATGAGGCAGAGAGAACTAGACTGGACCACATAGGGAGAAGGCTGGGTTTAATCCCCAGGGAAACGTGTGTAAATTGAGAAGAGCAGAAGGCTGAGGAAAGATCCCTGGAAAACAGCCTGAAGGATAAAGGGAATGTGGTATCACAGAAAGGGTAGACTTCGGAGGAGCCAGTGATAAGTTCTCCAGCAGCAGTGAATTACTTTTATGTTTGTAACAGAGAACAGCTCATGTTTCATAAAGGATAGAACAAGCAAATTAGCTGGTGAGCATCATTCAACTCCCTCACAGCCCACTCATAAGCTAAAGGCTCCAGAAGGCCATTTGTCCTGCCACAGGTCCTTAGTTTCCTCTTCCAATATAACAACTTTAGTTTACTTGGTAATATATACAGCAGCATTGAATCAATCTCCACAAGGCTGTTTTAAGATAGCTGCAAAAAAATATTTCAGCGCTATATGCAATCATTGAGCAGATGAGAAAATGGTAATGCACAGATACTAAACAGCTTTTCCAAGCCCCAATAATGGCCTATGCTAAAAATAGCATCCCTGTCTCCTTGTTTCAAGGTTATTTTTCATTTTGCATCTAGCTCATGCCTCTGTTTGGGGAAAGCTACCATTAGAAGTTTTATGGATTCCCAAACCACACTGCTGGACTGGAACCATAAACCACCTCTCTTGATCCACAGGCACAACACTTCGCTTGGACGTCTGGGATGGATGGAAGGAATTTCTGATGGGTTGTCTCCTTGGACAAAAACTTAAAGTCCAACGTTACTTATCAAAAGAAGGACCAGTACTCAAGTATGAGAAATTAATGTTAAATTAACTTAGCAAGTGCTGTAATTTTTTACTAAACTTCCATCAGACCTTAAGCCTGCAGTTCACTCACTCTACAGCTGGGGTGCTGCTCTATGCCAGTTCCACTTAGCATGTTTCAACCAAATATTATTATTACATATTTGCTGGAACAAAACAGCAGGGATGCCATCAGGACTGGCAGTCTTGCGATTCAGATAGACTTTCCTCAGGAAATACTAACTACAGTTAACCTTTGAACAATGCAGGGGTTAGGGATGCCAACTCCCCACACAGTTGAAAATTCCCATATAACTTTCGACTTCCCCAAAACTTCACTACTAATAGCCTACCATTGACCAGAAGCCTTACTGACAACATAGTCAATTAACACATGTTGTGTATATGTATTATATACCATATTCTTAAAATATTAAGAAAATCATAAGGAAAAGAAAATATATTTCCTAGTCATTAAGTGGATGTGGATCATTATGAAGGTCTTCAATCTTCAGGTTGAATAAGGCTGAGGGGGAGAAAGAGGAGAAGGGTTTGTCTTGCTGTCTCAGGTGTGGCAGAGGTGGAAGAAAATCCCCAAACTGAACCTCCACAGTTCAAACTCATGTTGTTCAAAGGTCAACTGTGATTAAATGGGTGACTTCGACTTGATTTAGATATGAGACTTTCAGCAACATTTTTCAAGGCTATCAGAACACATACAGACAGTCCACAACTTACGATGGTTCAACTTAGATTGTTCAACTTACAATGGTGTGAAAGTGGTATTAATTCAGTAGAAACTAAACTGCCAGTGCCCATACAACCATTCTTTTTCATTTTCAGTACAGCATTAAATAAATTACAGGAAATATTCAACAGTTTATTATAAAATAGGCTTTGTGTTAGATGATTTTGCCCAACTGTATGCTAATTAAGGCGGGCTAGACTAAGATTTGATGTTCAGTAGATTAGATGTATTAAATGCATTTTAGACTTATGATACTTTCAACATATGATGGTTTTTATCAGGACATAACCCTATCATAAGTCAAAGGGCATCTATATCTTGCCACTTTCACATTCAGTTATTCTTTAAGAAAACACTTGTTAATTCACTGAAAACATTGACCACATCTTCCTAAGCTCACATGTAATTTTTCAAACTGCATTTATTACCAGCATTCGCACTTTTGCCATACATAAAGTGTAACGGGTATAGCTGGGGCAGGAGGAGGGTTGGTTCAGAGAGGCAGGTGGTCATTTTAATGTGTTAATACAGCCATCAGATTCTCAAATACACAAATTGCACTAATCTGTAGGTTTAATTTAATAGTATTTTAGAATAGTGTCCCCTCGTGGGTGATTTAATCATGTTTTGTAGAAGCCAACACATCAGGAGATCTAAGGGCTCTGTGAAGTGATGGATTAGAAGAGCAGCTCTTACAATTTTATAAAATATTCTAATATTTTACACTGATTTCTATTATGGGATAGTGATATTTTTTCCATGTTCTGCATCCAAAGAAATAGCTGTGTTGCTTTGTTACTTTTAATAGTGTATATTTATTTAATACTTTATAGTAGACACTGTGTTATATTTATTACCTCATTCTATGTTTATAATACTTTGATGAGGTGGACAATTTTTAATCTTATTTTACAGATGAGGAAACTAAGATCAGAAAACCTGCCCCATGTTGGCTGGGCGCAGTGGCTCACACCTGTAATCCCATTACTTTGGGAGGCCAAGGCGGGCAGATCACTTGAGGTCAGGAGTTCGACACCAGCCTGGCCAACATAGCGAAACCCCTGTTTCTACTAAAAATACAAAAATTAGCCAGGCGTGGTGGCTCGCACCTGTAATTCTGACTACTGAGGAGGCTGAGGCAGAAGAATCGCTTCAACTTGGGAGGTGGAGGTTGCAGTGAGCCAAGATTGCACCACTGCACTCTAGCTTGAACAACAGAGTAAGACTCTGTCTGGCAGGGAATGGAGGAAGAAAACTTGCCCCATGTCATACCAATAGCAAGGGCAGATCTGGGTATTGAATCGTAACAATTTAACTCTAGTGTTCATGTGCTTGACCATCTACACTTGACTTCATCTTTAAATAAAATCTAAGAGCTCAGAGAATGTAAGTGGTCAGACTTAAAAGCTCCTTGTATTTCCCCATGCTTGATATTTTTCCTGAGGATTTAATTTTTATAAAAAAGACAACCACTTCAGGGAAACTATTTACATGTGCATAGTAGGATAATGTGTATAAGCAGGATCTATGCAGTTTAACCTGTATATCACTATATGCCTTTTCCAAAAACATTTTAAGGTAAAAGTTAAGAAGAAATAAACATTCAGCTAGAATATTTCATGAGCATTTAGTGTAACTACACTTGTTTGTTTGCTGATTTTCTAAACACCCCTCCCCACTCGTTTCACTCATTTAGGTATCAGAAAAGGGTAGCCCTGTACATTGCTGCTTTTTGTGGGTACATTGAACTCACTGAATGGGCCCTGAAGCAGGGTGCACGGCCCCACGAGGCAGTCGGTGTTCACCCCTATCGAGCATGGTGCCATGAAGCCCTTCATGCAGATGTCTCTAAATGCCCCATTCATGCAGCCGCAGAAGCAGGCCAACTGTTGATTCTGAAGGCCTTTGTCAACTGCAGCGTGCTGTGCCTGGAATGCAAAAATGCAGCAGGACAAACTCCCCTGACCATTGTGTTCAAACACAAGCATAAAGACTGTGTATTATATTTGCTCAGTAAAATGTGGTCCACAGTTTCTTTTCCGAAAATTTCAGTCCCAATGAGGATTTATATTAAAATAAAACAATGGACCCTCAGAGCTCAGAGTCACAGTCTTCATAAAAGCCAGTTTTGTGGAGCAAGGGTCTTTGGGGCAAAAGTTGGAGACACTGTGATGGTGGATGGTTTCACCAAACCAAAAATGACCTCCAAGAGCTGGCATAAGGCTGGGAACAGTGACTCACAAAGCATCTTGCTCAAGCTACCATCTCTCAGCAAACAAACTGCAAGCAGCAAACCTGTGAGTCCTTTGGCAATTTCACAGCCGGACAAAAGAGAACAAGCCCTCAAATTTCATCCACTGGTGAATGCAAGTACATTCTCTGAATTACAAAAACATCAACAACAAGATCAGAAAAAAATTACTGCCACAGCAAGGAAAAAAGAAAAGCTCATAAAAAACACATATCTTCCCCAAGTCCCCCTCCCTCCAGTTTCAAGAGTGGGATATTCACATCCATCATTTTTCTATGCAACACCCAGTGCTGACTTTTTACTGAAGTCCTCCTTCTCATCTTTCTCAGAGCACAGTGGGAAGACTCCAAGGGAGAACGCAATCTACTGCTTAGCTGTGGCAAGGTAACGTTCTCCCCTTAAACATACAAAGGGCAAACCTTTTATAAGGCAGGTCCAGGATAAGGAATGGTCCATAATGCCCTACTATGCCACTGAAAGTAATACAAGTTGTTCTAATGCATCAATACCCAGCTTCAAGGACCTCATCTTAGCCTCATGACTGGGACAAAATGAACTAATATTATTGGCCAATCCAATCTGTGCAGTACTTTACTCCTCAAACTTTCAGGAGGGAAAGAAACACAGCAGAAAGTGTTGTATCAATTCTCAAGGTCCCTTACTGCTGCTGCTGCTGCTTTTATTTTTCCTTTTTGTTTGAGATAAGGTCTCGCTCTGTTGCCCAGGCTGGAGTGCAGTGGTGCTATCACAGCTCACTGCATGCTTGAATTCCTAGGCTCAAGCAATTCTCCCACCTCAGCCTTCCAATTAGCTGGGACTACAGGCACATGCCACTATATCTGGTTGATTTTTTTTTTCCTGTGGAGACGGGGACTCACCGTGTTGCCCAGGTTGGTCTCAAACTCCTGGGCTCAAGCGATCCTCCCACCTTGGCCTCCCAAAGCGCTGGGATTACAGGCATGAACCATTGTGCCTAGCCTGCTAATGCTTCTTCTTTTTCCTCCTCTTCAACTTCTCTCTCTTCCTCTTCTTCTTCTAAAGCTAACAAAAAATTAATTGTAATTAGAGGGGAACGAGAGAAAACTGAAATATGGGAGGGAGACATCAAAAGTGCCATAGAAAACTAGATGATAACAAAAATGCGAGGAAAGAAAGGAACACATTAATGACAAATTGAACGATTAAAGACTTGAATTGACTTACTAGGCAAGATGCACAGCTGGGGTGAGATCTGTATTGGACAGGGTGCTAGAATTGACATTAATATTTACAGTGAGTTAAAAGGTAATCCGTAGCACATCTAAAGAGATAAGAAAGTGTATCAGAATTAGATGTTTCAGGTACACAATTCTCTGATTAGAGTTTAGATCCCATCCATTACTTATGAGGTATTATTTGATGCAAATATTACAGTTAGAAATACAGATTTATGAGTGACTTCTCCCCTTACTCAACATAATGAGAAGGCAAGAAAAAACAAGGCTAGAAGGCTAGATTGTTTTACTTGCTTTTCTGTACTGGTCTTTAACTCAGCTCAACTTTATTTCAGTTAAGTTGTTGCCACCTTGTGGTGAGAGTAATTTGGGCTGTAAAACGCAAAATTCAATATCCAACAGAGTAAGGTTGACAATAGAAGAAGACACTTAATAGCTTAGTAGCCTCAATCTTTATAATTTGTGAGATATCTCTGACTAGAATGACTAGAATGTATCACCAAAAATTCTAGAAATATACTAGAAAAATTATTAATTGAAAAAACTGCATAGTCCATCTTAAAATAAGGCTATAAACAAGAAAAGAAATATTGATTTGTTTTATCAACAGATACATGCTAAAAATGAGTTTATCAATAAGTGTTTACTATAGCCCAGTGCTGTGCACAGCAGAATGGAAATGTGCATGAAAAAGCATGTGTTTTTAAGCTTTGTGTGTGGAGGGGGTGCCGTTTCTATGAGAAAAGCTGACGGTGTCTGTTGTGTAGAGTGCTTTCTTGGCGAGGAATTGAGTTATGAAATATATAGTAAAATCCATAAGGACCACTAATCTCACATATATGGTTTGTTGAATTTTTATGTTTTCATATATCCATTTAAGCACTACTCAGATCAGATGCAAACTATTTCCAGTGCCCCTAAAAATTTCCTTCATGCCCCTTGCCAGTCATGATCCTTCCCAGATGTAACTATTATTCTCATCTCTATCACCAAATATTACCTTAGCCTGTTCTCGAACTTCATATAAGGGGCACATATGGCATATACCTTTTATATTTTGCTTTTTTTGTTCAACACATTGCCTGCAAGATTCATCAATATTTTTGCATGTATTGATTGTTCTTATTTCTATGTAGTATTCCATTTGTATGCAGTATTCCATATCCTAATTTATTTATCTATTTTCCTATTATAGGCATTTAAATCATTTCTAATTTAGGGGCTACTTTGAATTAAAATGCACAATTATTCTTGCATATGAGGTTTGGTAGACATCTGCATTCACTTCTCTTGACTCTATACCAAGGAATAGAATTGCTGGGTCATAGGATAAATTTATGTTTAGCTTTAGTAAACATTTCTAAACACTGTTTAAAAGAGACTACCAGTGTGCTTTTTTTTTTTTTTTTTTTTTTGTAGCTACACTGCATAAGGATTGGAGTTATTAAGGAGTGGCAATTTCAAGGTCAAGAAAGAAATTGCTAGAGAAAACATTTTGTTAAAGAAAGGGTTATTCTGTGAAGGAAAGAGAGAGAGGAAAGAAGGAAAGAAGGAAAGAAAGAGAGAAAGAAAGAAAGAAAGAAAAGAAAAGGAAAGAAAGAAGGAAGGAAGGAAGGAAAGAAAGAAAAGAAAGAAAGAGAAAGAGAAAGAAAGAAAGAAAGAAAGAAAGAAAGAAAGAAAGAAAGAAAGAAAGAAAGAAAGAAAGAAAAAGAGAGAGAGAGAGAGAAAGAAAGGAAGGAAGGAAGGAAGGAAGAAAGGAAGGAAGGAAGGAAGGAAAGAGAGGGAGGAAAAAAAGAGGAAGGAAAGAAGGAAGGAAAGAAGCAAGGAAGGAAAGAAGGAAGGAAAGGGGAGGGAGGGGAAAGGAGGAAGGGATTAGTGCAGAAGGGAGACCCACAGGGAGAGTGGTGGTCAGTCTGACTGCACACTTACTCTGGCAATGTTACTCCCAGCAAATCCTCTTTCCATTTCTCTTTTCCCAATGTTTTTCTCTTTCCTGTATTCACACCCTCCACTTCCCATCTGCTTCTGCCCCCTTTCCACTGAATCTCTCCCAGGATCTGTTCCACCTTCCTCTGTTGGTGGGCTGTGGAAAGGAAGGAGAGATCTATAATCTCATGCCACTGCAGTCTTCTTGATCGAGTTCAAGTTCCTCATAGAAGTCACAAAAGCACTTACATCTGCCTGAAGTAGACAGTCAAGGCAGGCAGTCAGGTGGTCTGAGCACTCCTCTAAATGACCAGGGCAGCTCTTGTACCACAAAGACGCAAACATGAGGAATGGATGGACACTATCTTGATGGCTACATGCACCATCACCAAGCTAGTGTTATAGCCAAGAAATGGGGAAGAACCTAATGTTCATGATGCTGACCCAGGGATCAGGTGGGTAAAGTGACCATCAGATGTTCCTGTTTTACAGAAAGGGGAGTCTCCCGAACCAGACAAGCCATCTGGCATCATGTGAAAGTACTTGCTGGACTCCATGTCATTCAGGAATTCCTACCTTTAGATTCATAAAACTAAACCTCTTGGGGTTGACCCCAAGATGGCATTGATGCAGTTAGCACAGATCAAGCGCTAATGTGGGTTTGGGTTGGTGAGTGAATGTGACTGGTGTAGACAGTCACTGAGGCCAGAAGGTCACATAGAGTCTCATTCCTTAGCCTAGAAGTCAGTGTAGGCTTTACACAGGTCAAAGAATACCTGTAAGGTGTGTTTAGAAAAATAGCCTTCCTTATTGCTTATTGTCCAATTCCAGAGAGGTTTATGTGACCTGGGAGTCCAGTTAAGTAACGATTCAAATGTAGGGGATTGGTCCAGAAAGCTGAGAGTTTGAGTGGACTGAGAATAGATGATAATCTCAAATGCTATGAGCTTTGATGGGCTCTTGTACTCTGGATACAAGTACAGCTCTTTGTTTTTATTCTTTATTTTAAAAGGCATGTGTTATATGTTTTAATCACCTTTTGTATCTCTAGCACATAGAATAGTGCTTGCCATAGAGTAAGTGCTCAATATGCATCTTTTTCTTAAGGTAAACAGTTTTTGAATCAATGCAGAAAAGTCAGGTTTCAAATGCCAGGGAGAGAATCAGGATAGGCCTGAGCCTAGGAAGAGCAAGGATATGCATCAGAACAGGAGAGGACTTCAGATTAACTCTGGTGGGATATGGGGAAAGGCTGAAAGTGCCTGAGTGATTTCCTTAAGACTTAATACCTATTTTTATGGGCAACATAGATGGGTTAACCCAGTTTAGAGGGCACAGAAAGACGCAACTATTGAGGTAAAACAAGAAGTTAATCTAGAACAAAGAAGTTGAATCAGGCAGACATGGACCTGGTTCAAATGTTGGAAACACTATGGTATTTTATACAGGGTTACTCCTAATAGATTGAGTGAAAGACTTTTAAAAATACCAGACTTTGCCAGACAACATGGGCGGAGGTGAGGTAAAGGATCCAGGCAGAGCTAGTAACATGGTCAAAGGCACTGTTTTGTGAAAGAGCAAGCAAGAAATTTAGTTTTCAGGAAAGTACATGGATTTGCAAAAGGCATTGTAGGCAATAAGGAAAAACTATCTGGAGATAAGACTGGCAAAGTAGACTGCTTCTACACTAAGAAGCATCTGTGTGACCAAGTGAAGAGTTTGCTTCTTCTTTCCCCTTCCATAGGGTAGGAGGTAGGTGGGAAGCTCACGGAAGTTCTTTTTCGTGAAGTCACATAATCAGTTTTTGTTTGAAGACAAATCTGATAGAGATGTATGGAAGACTCGTTGGAAAGATGTGAAAAGACTATAGTAAAGTTAGGAAACTGCAATAAGAGAAATAAGAGAAAATAAAGACCTGTACTAGAACAACAGTAGTTATGGAAAAGAGATATTTTCTGGGGAATAATCTACAAATACAAGAGATATTTCTGGGGAATAATCTACAAAATTTGGTCACTGACTGGGTGTGGAAATAGAGAAAGAAGGAATTTAGTTTTGTTTCTAGCTTTGGAGATAGTGAAGATAGCAAAATTGAAGTGTTAGAACAAGGAAACAGAAGTGGGACAAGTTTAGGAAGAAGATAAAAGATATGTTAAATTAAAAGTGTCTATGGGATAAATATTTTTATTTGGTAATTGGAGATATGCAACTTTCAAGAAAGGTCAAGCTTTAGGAGTCATGGGTAAAAGAATTGAAATAGTGAGTAAATGAGGACTCCTAGGAGGAGGGTGTAGAAAGAGAGGAGAACCAAGGATAGAATCTTGGAGGACCCCAACATTTAAGGGGATGTAAAACACCTCTGTATTAAATCACATTTGCATCCTACCAAGTAAGAGTAATCGTATTCAAATTTGCAAGTCTTTATTAGTATATAACCAGAGAATAACTATCATAAAACATTAAGTTCCTTTGCATTTTAGTTAAAGATTATCAAAATACCTAATATCTGTTCAATTAAAAAATCCTCATGTGTGTTTGTAGGGGTAGAAAGTGGAGAAAGGAGAAGAGGCCAGGGAATATATGATGTATAGGAATCTCTAGAGAGGAGAGAGAAAAAGTTTCAACTCAGAGAATTCTACATGATACTGAGTGGCTTTCTGTTTCTAGTTGTGATTTTAAGTTTTTAGCATTGCCTTGGGAAAACATCATTTCCACTGCATCACAGGGAACTTGTTTTAGAAAGATTACTGTTTCTATTTCACATCTACCTATGTGATAAGACAAACTAGCCCTAGCTACAAAATCAACCTGAAGATTTCCATCCTTTTTCAGCTATGTATGCAGATAAGATCAGACCTTCTTATAAATTATATCTTGTTTTCTTGCAGTGCCTTTAAAGAGAAACGATGGCTTCAGCAGTTAGAAATAGCAAGAGTCCTGGCCAAAAAGAGCATTTCTAACTTGACCACCCGAGGAGGTCTGACAGCATGTGAAAACTCTCTAGAAATTGTGCTTTGAAAAGTCATGACAACCTCAGTTTGGACAAAGACCTGAGCAAACAGAATGTCCATTGCTAATGTTAACATTTACAATAACAGTTCTAATGTTATCATCTCTAGTAACAGTTATAACGCCACATAACTTTTAATAGGATATTTAACACCATATTTTCTTGGACTTCATCATGCTAACTGAACATTTAGTGCTATTTTTGTATAAAGAATATAAGGAAGAATTCAGAAGAAACTGAGAATAATAGTTGTCCACAAGGTAGGGAAGCTGAGACAATGGAAAACAAGGAAGTGAGAATTTTTACATTTTCTTTTTTTGTTTTTTTTTTCTTTTTTTTTTTAAAGTGTTTTGGTTTTTTAAGCCATATTAATGTAGAATATATTTTAAAATAAATAAAATTTTTAAATTCTATATAAGGAAAGTTCTTAAGAAAGTTAACAAATACCATCCAGGTCTAATGCTGATCTCAGACATCTTTTTAACTCTGCTAAAACACTGCTTCCAATTAATTTTTTTAAATTGAGTTAAAATTTACATGTAGTGAATTGCATGAATCTTAAATGTAAGATTCAATGGGTTTGAAAAATATCCCAGTCAAAACATAGAACGTTTTTGTTACCCCAGGAAGTTCCTTCAAGCTCCTAAGTCAATTCCAACTTCTTTAGGTAACTGCTATTTTGATTTCTATCTCCATAGATGAGATTTTCAAATCATCGGTATCATGCAGTTGTTCACTTTTGTGTCTGGGTTATTTTGCTCAACTTACTGTTTTAAGATTCATTTACATTACTGCATGTATCCGTAGTACATTCCTTTTTTTCTTTTCTTTTTTTTTTGAGACAGAGTTTTACTCTGTCGTCCAGGCTGGAATGCAGTGGCACGATCTCGGCTCACTGTAACCTTCGCCTCCCAGATTTAAGCAATTCTCTGGCCTCAGCCTACTGAGTAGCTGGGATTACAAGTGTGTGTCACCACGCCCAGCTAATTTTCGTATTTTTAGTAGAGACAGTTTCACCATGTTGGCCAGGCTGGTCTCAAACTCCTAACCTCAACTGATCCACCTCCCTTGCCTCCCAACATGTTGGCATTAAAGGCATGAGCCACCATGCCCAGCTACACATTCCTTTTTATTACTAAATAGTATTCGATTATATGGATGCGCCATAATGCATGGTGTATGGACTGTATGGATGTTTGGGTTGCCTCCAGTTTTGACATATTATGAAAAAAGCACTATGAACATTATTGTAAAAAGTATTTTTCTGGACATATGCTTTCATTTCTTTTGGGTACGTATCTAGGAGTAGAATTGTTGGATAACAGGGTGAATGTACATTTAACATTATGAGAAACTACCTAAGAGTTCTCCAAAGTGGTTTTATGATTTTTAACACTTTGACTAGCAATGTACGAGAGTTCTGGTTGCTTCACATACTTGGTGTCATCAGTGATTTTTACCTTTAGTCATTCTAGGGGGTTGAAATGGCCTATCATTGTGGTTTAATTTGCATTTTCCTATGACTATGATGCTGGATGCCTTTTCATGTGCTTACTGGCCATTTGTGTATTTTTTGTGAAGTAGCAATGCAAATTTCTGCCTATTTAAAAGGTTGGGTTATCTTTTAATTATTGGTTTATTAGAGTTTTTGTATTTATGATACAAGTTCATCATCATATATATAGATAGATATAGATATATAGTGTATATTTTTCCCAGTTTGTGGGATCACCTTTTCATTTTATTAATAGCGTTTTCTGATAAACAAAAATGTTTTTAACTTTGATGAAGTAGAAGTTATCATTTTTTTCTTTTATGATTCATGCTTTTTATTTCCACTATAAGAACTCCGCCTGGCCTGATGCGGTGGCTTACGCCTGCAATCCCAGCAATTTGGAAGGCCGAGGTGAGTGGATCACTTGAGGTCAGGAGTTTAATACCGCCTGGCCAACATGATGAAAACCTGTCTCTACTAAAAATACAAAAATTAGCCAGGAATGGTGGGCATGTCTGTAATCCCAGCTTCTCAGGAGGCTGAGGCAGGAGAACTGCTTGAACCTGGGAGGCAGAGGTTGCCGTGACCCAAGACAGTGCCCCTACACTCCAGCATGGGCGACAGAGTGAGACTCCATCTCAAAAAAAAGAATTCTGCCTACTCAAAAGTAATGAAGATTTTCTCTTATATTTTATTCTAGAAGTTCAATAATTTTAGGCTTTATGTTAGGTTTATAATCTATCTCAAATTATTTGTGTGAGTGATATGTGGTAAGGGTCAGGATTAATTTTTGAAAAGACTTTCCTTTGCCCCACTGAATTACCTAGCATCTCTGTTGAAAATCAATTGGCAATACAGATACAGATCTATTTCCAGACTTTCTATTTTTTTCCATTGATCTATTTACTTGTCATTATACTAATACTACACTGTCTTAATTACTACATCTTAATTAGTCTTGAAATCAGGTAATATGTATCCTCCAATTTTGTTATTGTTTTTCAAGTTTGTTTTGGCTATTTTTAGTCCTTTGCATTTCCATATAAATTTTAAAATAAACTTGCCATTCTCTATTTTAAAAGCCTGTTGAGTTAGCACAAGACTTAATTCTCATACCTGGACACTCTTGTCCTTCAGTACATGGATGATTTACTTTTAGCCGCCCGTTCAGAAACCTTGTGCCATCAAGCCACCCAAATGCTCTTAAATTTCCTCACTACCTTTTGGCTACACGGTTTCCAAACCAAAGGCTCAGTTCTGCTCAGAGCAGATTAAATACTTAGGGCTAAAATTATCCAAAGGCACCAGGGCCCTCAGTGAGGAACGTATCCAGCCTATACTGGCTTATCTTCATCCCAAAACCCTAAAGCAACTAAAAGGGTTCCTTGGCATAACAGGTTTCTGCCAAATACGGATTCCCAGGTACGGTGAAATAGCCAGTCCATTATATACACTAATTAAGGAAACTCAGAAAGCCAATACCCATCTAGTAAGATGGACACCTGAAGCAGAAGCGGCTTTCCAGGCCCTAAAGAAGGCCCTAACCCAAGCCCCAGTGTTACGCTTGCCAACGGGGCAAGACTTTTCTTTATATGTCACAGAAAAAACAAGAATAGCTCTAGGAGTCCTTACACAGGTCCAAGGGATGAGCTTGCAACCCGTGGCATACCTGAGTAAGGAAATTGATGCAGTGGCAAACAGTTGGCCTCATTGTTTATGGATAGTGGTGGCAGTAGCAGTCTTAGTATCTGAAGCAGTTAAAATAATACAGGGAAGATATCTTACTGTGTGGACATCTCATGATGTGAATGGCATACTCACTGCTAAAGGAGACTTGTGGCTGTCAGACAACAGTTTGCTTAAATATCAGGCTCTATTACTTGAAGGGCCAGTGCTGCAACTGCACACTTGTGCAACTCTTAACCCAGTCACATTTCTTACAAACAATGAAGAAAAGATAGAACATAACTGTCCACAAGTAATTGCTCAAACCTACACCATTAGAGGGGACCTTCTAGAGGTTTCCTTGACTGATCCCAACCTCAACTTATATACTGATAGAAGTTCCTTTGTAGAAAAAGGACTTCAAAAAGCAGGGTATGCAGTGGTTAGTGATTATGGAATACTTGAAAGTAATCCCCTCACTCCAGGAACTAGTGCTCAGCTGGCAGAACTCATAGCCCTCACTTGGGCACTAGAATTAGGAGAAGGAAAAAGGGTAAATATATATACAGACTCCAAGTATGCTTACCTAGTCCTCCATGCCCATGCAGCAATATGGAGAGAAAGGGAATTCCTAACTTCTGAGGAAACACCTATCAAACATCAGGAAGCCATTAGGAAATTATTATTGGCTGTATGGAAACCTAAAGAGGTGGCAGTCTTACACTGCCAGGGTCATTGGAAAGGAAAGGGAAACAGAAGGGAATCGCCAAGTGGATATTGAAGCCAAAAGAGCCACAAGGCAGGACCCTCCATTAAAAATACTTATAGAAGGACCCCTAGTATGGGATAATCCCCTCCAGGAAACCAAGCCCCAGTACTCAGCAGGAGAAATAGAATGGGGAACCTCAAGAGGACATGGTTTCCTCCCCCTCAGGGTGGCTAGCCACCAAAGAAGGGAAAATACTTTAGCCTGCAGCTAATCAATGGAAATTACTTAAAACCCTTCACCAAACCTTTCCCTTAGGCATTGATAGCACCCATCAGATGGCCAAATCATTATTTACTGGACCAGGCCTCTTCAAAACTATCAAGCAGACAACCAGGGCCTGTGAAGTGTGCTGAAGAAATAATCCCCTGCACAGCAGGCCATACATTTCAATCCCTGTATCTTTAACTTCCTTGTTAAGTTTGTCTCTTCCAGAATCAAAGTTGTAAAGCTACAAATGTGGTTCTTCACATGGAGCCCCAGATGCACTCCATGGCTCAGATCTACCGTGGACCCCTGGACCAGCCTGCTAGCCCATGCTCCGATATTAATGACATTGAAGGCACCCCTCCTGAGGAAATCTCAACTGCACAACCCCTACTACACCCCAATTCAGCAGGAAGCAGTTAGAGCGGTTGTCAGCCAACCTCCCCAACAGGACTTGGGTTTTCCTGTTGAGAATGGAGACTGAGAGAGACAGGACTAGCTGGATTTCCTAGGCTGACTAAGAATCCCTAAGCCTAGCTGGGAAGGTGACAGCTTCCACCTTTAAACACGGGGCTTACAACTTAGCTCAAACCCAACCAAACAGATAGTAAAGAGTGCTCACTAAAATACTAATTAGGCAAAAACAGGAGGTAAAGAAATAGCCAATCATCTATTGCCTGAGAGCACAGCGGGATGGACAATGATCTGGATATAAACCGAGGCATTTGAGCCAGCAATGGCTACCCTCTTTGGGTTCCCTCCCTTCGTATGGGAGCTCTGTTTCACTCTATTAAATCTTGCAACTGCGGGGGGGAAAAAAAAAAAAAAGCCTGTTGGAATTATTCTGATTGGGTACAACTGACCTTTTAATAATATTAAATCTTATTATCCATGACATATTTCTGTATTGGTGGTATATATCTCCAATTATTTCTTAATTCCTCTCAGCAAAGTTTTGTAATTTTTAGTATATAGGTCTTGTAAATCTTCTGTTAAAGTTTTTTTCCAAGTATTTTATATTTTTGAGGCAATTTACTAAGATGATTATAAGATAGATTTTGGTACAACAGTCGGAGACACCTAAAATCTAAGGCTCATTCTAAAAAAATGCCTTTGAGTTCCCAGTTAGATATTGCAAGGTTGGGGCACAAAGGTTAATACAAACACACACACACACGCATGTGCACGCACACACACACACACATAGATGATTCTACAGGGATGTTGTAAGGCAGCATGTGTATAGGTATTAGTTCACTATAGAGAAAACAAGAGATGATAGTGACTGGCAGGAGGCATAGCAGAAATTCTGGGGTGTTGTAACATTCTATTTCTTGTTCTGGAGTAATAGGTGTGTTTAATTTTAGAAAATTCAATAATGAGTATTTTAAAAATCTGTACCCTTTTCTGTTTGCATTTATAATACAATTTTTTAATGAATTAAATATTTTTTTAAAATCTCAGGAGCTAATTCATGCATTTGGTGCCAGTTTTAGAGTCATGAGAAGGTGGATGGTGTGAGTGAGGCTTGTCACCACGTTAATGTCCTCTTGACAGTGTAGTGCATTGAGCTGTAATTCCTTGCAGGGGGTGATAATATTTTATGTATCATTGAAACACAGCTAAGGAAATACCCTGTGCAAGGATTCTGGGCTAGAATACTGAGGAAGGAGAAAAATATGGGAAAATGTAAGAGAAAAGAAAGACACATGAGCTGGAGGGGGATATAAAGATGCAGAGAGAATATGAGGGGATAATTGATATGAAGCGTTGTTCCCTACCAGCATCAAGTGAAAAAAATACTGAGTATTTATTCTTTGTTCACATTCGCCCTGGAAGTAAGATTGCATGAAGTGACATTAAGACTGTATATATTTATAATGTAAATCTAATTGTAGAGCATTAGTATTAACATACACAAGATACGCTGGGACATTTATTCTCAGCCAGATTCTTTCAAATTAGAGTTAACGTGTATTCTCTGTGCTTCCTTGTCATTTTGTTCATTTTTCAAGTATTGCTATTCATCACACTGTATTGGAATTACTTCATTATCTGTCTCCCTCACTTTTCTGACACCTTCTAGAGGGCAAGGACATTGTTTTATTCATCTACAAATTGCCAAAGCATAGCATATCTTTGAACCTTTAAGGAATTGCTCAGTAAATGTTTGTTGAATTAAATGAATGGCTTTTAAGATGATTGTTTGTGAATTTATAGGAGCATAAAATCTGCTCCTATAAAATGTAAATGCTGCTGTTTGCTTAATTCTAATTTATTGTTTCATTTGATCATCAAAATCAATTTTATTAGTTCAGCTGAGTATCATAACAGTCCTGTATGGCACAGAAGGGCAGTATTAAAATACCAATTTTACAGATGAAGAGACTATGCTTGTAACATAAAAACAACTTACTGGAAGTCATACAGGTAGTGTCAGAGCCAGATATGGAATCTAGAGTTTTGAGTTTTCACTCAGGTAATTTTTTCTAAAAAACTATATCACCTATGGCAACAGAAGTCACTCTATAAATTATCCTGGGGTGTTTTAACTCCCAGGCTGGTTTTTCTTGGATAAAACTTGGTTTCTTTTTTTGACAGTGTCTCACTCTGTCACCCAGGCTGGAGTGCAGTGACTCCAATTTTGGCTCACTGCAACCTCTGCCTCCTGGGTTCAAGCAATTCTCATGCCTTGGGCTACCAAGTAGCTGGGACCACAGGTACATGCCACCATGCTTGGCTAATTTTTGTATTTTTAGTAGAGATGGGGTTTCACCATGTTGGTCAGGCTAGACTTGAACTTCTGCCCTCAAGTGATCCTCCTGCCTTGACCTTCCAAAGTGCTGGGTTTACAGGCATGAACCACCACACCTGGCCTAACTTAGTTCCTTGACCACCGACTTTAGACAGCCCATTGTGCCACTCCCTAGTCTCACCTTCACATCACCTGTCCTCACTTCATTCCCTGAGATTACGGAGAAGAAAGGCCATTTCATATTGGCATACTACTGTATCTATTTGCAAATTCATTTCAGCATTCCTATTCCCTAAATATGTACAGTTCTTGAATACCTCTTTTGAATCAGTTGAAACGGGTTTTTACTGTACTCTCACTAATTCTCTCATTAATTAACTAGTTCAATACATTTTGTGACATGTGTTCATTGTACACTTGTAGAAGAGTCACGATTTTACCTGTTCTGAAAATTATTCTTTAATAATGGATGTTTTCTCAATAATGTATGAATAAAGGCAACTTCAGGAAATGATGCAATTTTTGCTAATCTGCAATCCACAGTCTAAGTAAAAATTGTGTTCTCTCTGCAAATGCTACTTCAAGACCTAATTAATAAGTTCAAGGACCTGTCTTTCTGTGCCACAGTGGAAGAAACAATTTCAGTCAGATGTGAAGGACAAAGTAGACACAGAGAAGTTAATTGAAAACCTCTTCCAATTTTTAGTCTGCCTGGGAGACTCAGAATATAGAAAGAGTTGTCTCAAGCCTCAGAAAAGACATATGAAGAGTCTCCTCCCCTTCCCCTCTCCTCCTCCACGCCCTCCATTTTAAAGGGGTTGAGATTTGAAGAATCATATTCCTATCAATTAGCAACTTTATAGTCTCTTATATTTGAACCACAGTAGGTGAGAAGAGAGAGTTGGAAAAGGAACTAAATTATCACAGGCCCTAAACACTTTTTTAAAAACATTGCTCTGAGCCAGGTGTGGTGGCTCACGCCTGTAATCCCAGCATTTTGGGAAGCCGAGTCGGCTGGATGACTTGAGGTCAGGAGTTCAAGACCAGCCTGGCCAACATGGTGAAATCCCATCTCTACTAAAAATACAAAAATTAGCCAGGCATGGTGGTGGGCACCTGTAATCCCAGCTACTCAGGAGGCTGAGGCAAGAGAATCGATTGAACCCGGGAGTCGGAGGTTGCAGTGAGCTGACATCCCGCCACTGCACTCCAGCCTGGGAGTGAGGCTCTATCAAAAAAAAAAAAGAGAGAGAGAGAGAGAAAGACATTGCTCTGAATCCTGTAAGCAGTGGTCATTGTCATCATTATCTTTATCCTAATTTATAATCACTCATAAACCTTGTCACAAGCTTTCAGCCTGGTAGGTGGAAGGATGGGCTTTGGAGCAGGTAAGTGAGGGATCCAACCCTTTCCTTCTAGCTCTGTCACAGGCTTTGTCATATAATCTCTGGAGCTTTGTCTCTTTATCTGAAAAACAAAGCCATGGCTGTTGAGGATATTAACTGAGATACATTTAAGATAACATATACAGAAGCTCTGTGGAAACTATTAGCTTTATAAAAGTGTCAGTTGCTGGACTTGTCTCTCAGTTTCCTTATCTCTAGGGGAAATTATTATGGAACCTATCTCACAGGGTTCTTGTGAACTCCAAATGTATTTAATAAATGTAAGAACACTTCCTGACACGGTCAGTGCTTAACAAATGTGAGCTATTGATATTAATGTATGCTCCACGAGGGGGCGTGTCGGATTGGAAACACTTTTTCATCTCCCACAGAGCCTAGCACCTTGCACCCAGCCGGCGCTCACTACACCTTTGCGGGATGATTTACAAAAGGCAGAACGTTCTGACCTTAGCCTGCGCCGCAGGGGGCGTCCGAGTGTAGGGCGTTAGTTCGTAGGCCGGAACCCAAAGCTCCGGACGCTGCGACGCCGGAGCCTCTAGGCGCCCGGACACCGGCGCCGGAAGAGGGGAAGGCGGGGTCCGCGCTGCCGGGTGAAATCGTAGGCGAGTGAAGATGCTGCTGGAGTTGTCCGAGGAGCATAAGGAGCACCTGGCCTTCCTGCCTCAAGTGGACAGCGCGGGTCAGCGGGCTTGGGGGTGGTGTTCTGTGGGCTGGGGAGGAGGTCAAAGGCAGCGCCCGGCACTCAACAGCATTCTGACTTTCATTGCAGTGGTCGCCGAGTTTGGGCGGATTGCTGTGGAATTCCTGAGGCGCGGCACAAACCCAAAAATCTACGAAGGCGCTGCCAGTAAGAAGGGGAAGGGGACGGCTCCGCAGGCTGCCAGGGCGGTTGCGATCCATTCCCTGTCTCCCGGGAGAGAAAGGGATTATTGTGACTCCTAGGATCTTGTTCCGATTGTAGTAGAATAAAACCAGCAGAGCTCCTCAGTCAGGGTGCAAATCCTGCCCGTCTCTGAAGTAGCTGTGAGATTGTTAAAGCTTCTATTAAATCAGTTTTCTTATGGTAAAATGTACATACATAATACCACCTTACTTTCAGAAATACTGAAAAGTATTTTGTATAAATATACCAAAGTCTGTGGAATAGCTGAGTCAACTGTAAATATGCAAGTATTTGGTTATCATTATTAGTTGTTCAGATATCCGCTTCTGCTAAAAAAGTGTTGTTTTCCCCTGGGTAAGAGGCAGTCTCTGGGATTAAGAGTTCCTCTTCCGCCAGACTTGAAGGAGCTACGCTTTCAAGAGAAGGGCTACGCACCTTATACTAGTCTCCACAGTACTGCGTTTTGTTAAGAAGGTTACATGGTGGGAAATACCAATGGCATTTGGCTGGGAGTGGAATGAGAAGGAACATGAGCCTCTGGCCAACTTACTATTTTTCGTGCAGTGTTTGAAAACATGTAGTAATAAATAGTGTTTATTTTTAAAGACAAATATGAACAAGATAAATACCACAGTAGTAATTTATTTGCTTGTTTTCACTTTTCTTTCTCAGGAAAACTGAATGTGAGTAGTGACACTGTCCAGCATGGTGTGGAAGGATTAACGTATCTCCTCACTGAGAGCTCAAAGCTCATGGTAAGGGTTTCTCTGGACTGTTTTGTATTGCCTGGATTCTTAAGAAAAGTCTGGTGTACTCTACATCATAGTCTTGGCAGGTACCTGTGGATTTTAATAATGTTGTTAATGTTTTATAATAGATTTTTTGAAGACATACCTAAAAAATAAAAATCATATAATATCTACTGATACAAATACCTCTTGCTGGTATAAATAGCTAGTATAGAAGTACCTCTAATTCTGCATGTTGTTAAACCATTTATGTATCCTAAGAGGAGGAGACTGTATTAATATTTTGTTTGCATATCAGCAGTATCTGGCTTGATGAAGAATAGGAAGGGAAACTGGGCATCTTAACAATTCTTTCCATTTTATACTTTAATAAAGTACTTTTATGTATCAGTAACTTGGATTTTGGAATGGTGAGCAGTGGTTATCTTTAAGGAATGCTGTTTCTTTTACTAGACAGAATAAATTAGAGTATATCATATTCTTTTGTGTATTTCAAGTATTTTAGCTAGACAAAGATAAATTTTGATGTTCTTTAAACTCAATTCACTTAGATTTCTGAACTGGATTTCCAAGACTCTGTTTTTGTTCTGGGATTCTCTGAAGAATTAAACAAATTGTTGCTTCAGCTTTATCTGGACAACAGAAAAGAGATCAGAACTATTCTAAGTGAATTGGCACCAAGTCTTCCCAGTTATCATAACCTTGAATGGCGACTAGATGTACAGGTATAGTATTTTTCAAATTAACTTGACGTAGAATATAAGAATTATTTTAGGTTTGTGTCCTGTTTATTGGATTCTTTACCACCTTAACTAAGATCCGGTTTGAAACTTTGTTTTTTAATGTTCATTTTTAGGCCATTTCACAAATAGTTCATTTATTTTATTTTCAGTGTGTTCAAATCAGTTTAATTTGCAAAGTTTGCAAGAAATCGGTTATTTTGGAAAAGGAGATGGTTATGTAGATTTTTTAGATTGGTGCCTAGATGTTTAAAAACTTTTCTGTTTAAATTTAACAGATGTAGAAAAGTGCACAGGTCAATGTACCGCTCAATGAATTATCACATGGTGCATTTAACTGTGACTTATACCCCAGAAGCATCCTCCTTGCCTCCTAATTACTGCCCCTTCCCTCCTTTCCAAAGGTAACCAGCATCCTGACTTCTAACACAAATTACATTTACCTGCCTTTTAACTTTGTATATATGGATGACTCAGTAAATATTCTTCTGTACCTGACTTCTCTCACAATATTATTTTTGTGAGATTCATCTTTCAGTTGATTTTAAAGTCACATAAACAAAAGGGTGTATTCAGACCATTGCTTATAGTCCTTTATGAAGCAGAGAGCGATAAATTAGTAGATGTGTATTGAATGCCATCTATTTGCTGATTAGAGCTGTGCTAAATGCTTTGAGACACAAAAGAAGTGTAAAATACTTTCAACTGGAAAAGATAGTATCACTTTGGTTAGGGATATTAGGTGTTCTGAAAATAACTAGTAATGAAAGGGGCTTATAAAATAAGGTTCTTGATGGGGAAAGAAGAATATAATTATATAAATGAAGATGACAACTGTTTCAAAAAAAAAAAAAAAAACAACAACAACAACACGTGTAATTGTGTGTATGTGCTGGCATGATCCAAGAAAGCTTCCAGCAAAAGGAAGTGAAATTTCAGAAGGATGAATGAATAGAGAAAATTAGGGTAAATATTCTTAGTAGAGAAGGCAGAATATGTTGTAAAGACCCACATGGATATGGAAATGACAGATAAATATGTATTACAGTGCACTTGTTTTCAAATTCGACTTCATATTGGAATAACCTGGGGAGCTTTACAGAAATTCTGATGTTTGTGTGTAATACCCAGAGATTCTGATTTATTGGTATAGAGTTCGGCCTGAGCATCAGGATTTTTTAAAGCTTATTTTCACCCAGGTAACTCTAATGTGCAATAGTTTGGAAACCACTGTTGTAGTGGCTTCTTCTGATTCAAATGGAGGTAATGTCCAAATAGGTTATAGAAAGTTGGTTAGAGGGGTTTATATCTGACATGGCAGACGATAGGAAGCCCTTGTAGATATTTGGATAAGAGAGTAACATTAAGGCCATGCGCAGTGGCTCACTCCTGTAATCCCAGCACTTTGAGAGGCCAGGGCAGGCAGATCGCCTGAGGTCAGGAGTTCGAGACCAGCCTGGCCAACATGGTGAAACCCTATCTCTACTAAAAATACAAAAATTAACCGGGCAGGGTGGAACATGTCTGCAGTCCCAGCTACTTGGGAGGCTGAGGCAGGAGAATTGCTTGAACCCAGGAGGTGGAGGTTGCAATGAGCTGAGATTGTGCCGTTGCCCTCCAGCCTGGGCAACGAAGGGAGACTTCGTCTCAAAAAAAAAAAGAGAGAGACAGTAACCTTAAAAAACAATCATGTAGGAAAGTTAATCTAGCACCCTTGGGCAGAGAGTGAAGGTGGGAATTCAAAATATGAGGAGCATCAGGCCTTTACACATTATGTTTACTCTATATGAAATGCTTTTTCTGCTTTGCTACTTCTTCTTGACTTGACTTTCTTATCCTTGTAAGTCTCAGTTTAAATCAGGGCTCAACAAACTATGGCCTGTGAGCCAAATCTGGCTTGCTACCTATTTCTGTAAATAAAGTTTTTTTGGGATACAGTCATGCTCCTTTGTTATGTATTATTTATGGCCACTTTCAAAGTACAAGGGCAGAGTTGAGTAGATGTGCCAGAAACTGTATGGTCTGCAAAGCCTAAAATATTATCTGGTTCTTTATAGAAAGGATGGCTGCTTTCAAAGTACAAGGGCAGAGTTGAGTAGTTGTGCCAGGAACTGTATGGTCTGCAAAGCCTAAAATATTATCTGGTTCTTTATAGAAAGGGTTTGTGCTCTAAATGATGTCTCCCTTTGGGAGAAATGCCCCCTGCCACTAGACACAGTTAAATTTTGGTGGCATTTGTGTTTTCTTTTCATGACACCTGTGCTTCCTCTTTCAGCAAGTCATCTCACTTATATGTACCTGGTTTTTTGTTTTTTTATTTTTTGTTTGACTAAACGGTAAACACTGGGATAGCAGGGACCATGCATGTCCTATATCTCTTTCTTCAAAGCCTCAACATCTCCTCCATGCTCCACATGCTTAGCTGTTGACCTTGCTTCCAACTTGACTAATAAAAGAGAAGCAAACAGAAAGAACTCCCACACGCACCTGTCACCACATCTTTCAGCCTGTATCAGGACCCATTTGCTCCACTTGTCTTCTCTCCTGTTCCTCTTGATGAAGTGCCCATGCTCTTATCTACAGGCAGCCTTTTCCCTTGTATACCTCAGTCCATCTGCATTTCCCCCCATGAGGACATAGTTCTAGCAATTATTCCCTCTTTTACCTGCGTCATACTTGGTTTGCCTCTCCCTTCTGCACACAGTCAGAAACCCAGTCTTGACTCCATGTACTCCTCCTGCTGCTGCTCCATTATTTTGCTCCTCTTTATACTAAGACTTTTTTTTTTTTCCCCAGACAGTCTCACTCTGTTGCTCAGGCTGGAGTGCAGTGGTATGATCTCCACTCACTGCAACCTCTGCCTCCTGGGTTCAAGTGATTCTCCTGCCTCAGCCTCCCAAGTAGTTGGGATTACAGTGGGATTCTAGGTGTGTGCCACCACGCCTGGCTAATTTTTGTATTTTTAGAAGAGACGGGGTTTCACCATGTTGGCCAGGCTGGTCTCAAACTCCTGACCTGAAGTGATCCACCTGCCTCGGCCTCCCCAAGTGCTGGGATTACAGGCATGAGCCACCACACCCGGCCTACACTAAGACTTCTTGAAAGAGTTGTCTCTCTGTTTGTATACTCTCTCTTCCTGTTATCTCTTAAACTTTTCCTAATCAGACTTCATAATCTTCACTCTACTCTCATAACTTACTCAAGGTCATCGCTTTTTAGTTTTTATGCCATTCTGTTTATTAACGCATTTGTCACAGTTAGTCACACCTTCCTACTTGAAATACTTTCTTTAGTTGCCTTCTGGGAAATAACTTCCTCTGATTCTGATCCAACTTCACAGCCTCCTCTTTCTCAATCTCCTTTGCTGATTCTATCTCATTGCCCTTTAAACATTGGGATGCCCCAAAGGTCAGTTCTGAGTCTTCATACCTTTTCCACTTACATTCTCAAGCTGGTTTCATCCAATTTGAAGTCTTAAATAATCCCCATATTCTTGGGATTCCCAAATGTATATCTTTAGTCTAGAACTATCCTCTAAACTTGAGAGTCATACAGTTGAAGCCTATTTTCATCTCCACTTTGGTAATTTGATAAGCATTCAAATGCAGTGTGTTCCAAACTGAATCCCACCTTTCTTACCCACTGATATGGTTTGGTTCTGTGTCCCCACCCAAATCTCATCTTGAATTGTAATAATCCCTATATGTCAAGGGTGGGACTAGGTGGAGATAATTGAGTCATGGGAGCAGTTTTCCCCATGCTGTTCTTGTGATAGTGAGTTATCACAAGATCTGCTAGTTTTATAAGGGGCTTCCTCCTTCATCTGGCATTCATTCTCTCTCCTACCACCCTGTGAAGAGGTGCATTCTGTCATGATTGAAAGTTTCCTGAGGCCTCCCCAGCCATGTGGAACTGTGTGTCAATTAAACTTCTTTTCTTTCTTTTTTTTATGTTTTGAGACGGAGTCTCACTCTGTCGCCCAGGCTGGAGTGCAGTGGTGCGATCTCGGCTCACTGCAAGTTCCACCTCCCGGGTTCACACCATTCTCCTGCCTCAGCCGCCCCAGTAGCTGGGATCACAGGCACGTGCCACCACACCTGGCTAATTTTTTTTGTATTTTTAGTAGAGACAGGGTTTCACCCGGTTAGCCGGGATGGTCTCAATCACCTGACCTTGTGATCTGCCCGCCTTGGCCTCCCAAAGTGCTGGGAGTACAGGTATGAGCCACCGCGCTTGGCCTTCTTTTCTTCATAAATTACCCAGTCTCGGTTATTTCTTCATAGCAGTGTAAGAAAGGACTCATACACCCCCTCCCTGCTGAAACTGCTCCTGCCACAGCCTCTCCCATCTCAGATGGTATGTCCATTCTTTGAATCACACAGGCCAAAAATACTTGGACTTTTTCTTGACTCTTCTCCTTGCCCTTCATCTAGTCCATCTGCAAGTCAGTTTCTTAAAAAGGTATCCACAGTCTGACCACTTCCCTTCTATGGTTTGAAAAAAAAAATTAGGAAATTTCACACCAGAATTATAATTTTTAGCAACTTTTGAAAAAATTAGAAGTTCAGGCGGCACCAGAGCCACACTCCCACATAGCCTTAATCAGTTCAAGATAGAGTGAATTTAAGGTGATAACAGCTTGTTTAAGTTGCAGTCTCTACAGTAGGTGAGGATATGGGCCTAAATCTTGGATGCCGGATTAGTCGAAATCACATATGAGAATGATTTCTCTGACATCTGAACTGAATCTCATTGGTTGCTCATGGCTAATAGAAATAAAAGCCAGTAATTAAGCGTGGTTTTAGGAAAAACAACCACTAGCACAACACAATGTCACTGAAAGTAAGAGCAACATTTAAGAATAGCGGGATCATCAGGGGAGTAAGAGTTAAGACAAAAGCCTTAGGATTTGGACAGAAGAAAGATGTACCTGTCTTACTGTATCTTCAAATTTTACACTTGGGATAGAGTGGCTGGCATAGAGAGAGAATATCCCATTGTCATGAGCATCTTAAGGTATGTGCAGATAAACAATTAAAAAGATAATCTCTTATGTCCCATTAATCCATTCTTGCTTCTACACATCTATTCAGTTATCAAACCATTTATTGAATGTCTAGTGCGTGCTAGGCCTTGTGGACATAGCAGTGCTTGCCTTTAAGTCCTCACCGTCTTACAGTAAGAGGGAGACCAAAAAATAAAATTTCATTAGAAATCAGCAATTATAATCAAGTGTGATGAGTGCTTGAATAGGCATGAACACAGGATGTGGTATAAGCCAGACTGTAGGCTCCAGGAGGGCAAGTATTGTGTCTTGTTCATTATTGTGTGCCCAGCACAATACTTGGCATATAATAGGCATTTGGTGCTGAATAGAAAGAATGGGTGGTAAGGGCAGTTAAGTGGCTTCTTAAATTATTTATCAGATATTTCTTGTACCCCTAACATGTGCCAGGTGTTGTGGATACAGCAAAGAACAAAACAGTTCATCCTCTGGGGGACTTCATAAGCAGCAAGTCTTGTGGGGTTTGTGGGGGAAATGACTGGATAAGCCTTTATATTCAGATCCTTTCACAATAACCCGGTGGAGATATGGGGATGGTCATGTATGTGGCTCAGCGGTAATTTATCTTGTAGATCTTTACCTGTCTCTTGTGTGCGAATGCCCCCTGACTTTGGGGGGTGCAATAGGCTTTAATAGTTCTTTTTTTGACTTTATTAATTTGCTTTGAGTGTGTCCATTATGAAGACATTTTTGTAAGTTAAAATTAAGAAATTGAATTTTCTAAAATTAAACTCGAGAGCTCATTTACCCAGTGAAATGAGTTTGAATCATTGCACTATTGGTAGGACTAGTACAGTTTAAGGTTGAGGGTATACTGAATGAATGTTGCTTCTTATGGAGAAATGCATTTAAGGGCTAAAAAAGCTACTACTCAGAGCTCATTGAGTTCCTCAGCTTATTTGTTGAAACCATTGCATAGGATTTTAACTGGAGTGGATTCTTCTGCTCATAGAGAAAGGCAGATCAGATAAGACTACCTAAATGTCTAGGAAACTAGTAACTACATACGGCACCTTTCATGTTTAAGTAACTGACTTGTCTCATGGAGACTGGTAGTGATGGACAATTACCACCTAATTATTGTGCAGTTACTTATGGGAATCAAATTAATCATCATAGCTTAGTGTCTAGTAGGAACATTTCCCCAGACTTAATAAATTGCCAACACAATTGATGTCCTTGTTAATAGCATTAGTAACTGAATGTACCACCATCTGAGACTGATGCCGGAGGATGTTCGTTTTAGGGCCGGTCCATTTACAACTACTTCAAAGCATTCTTTTCCTGTCCTGCCCACATATTGTTTGCTCTGAGGCTAAACAGAGAACTGAATTCTTTCAGGAACTGTAGCTACATGAAACATAATTTATGTATCCTGTTTCCTACTTGATGTTTTTTGCCAGAATACCCTTTTCAGTGCCTTTGAGGTATGGCCCTTCAAAGTAAAGGTTTTTTTTATTTTTTTTCTAATTTGCATTGAAATAAGACATTTCATTTTAAAGTTGCTTTTATTGTTGTTATGTTTACGGGGAGGAGGACAGAATCTCATCCCCAGTAAAAAAAAAGTCCATATCAAGAACTTTGTGGGCTACTGTTCTTTGTCCTGTAGTACTGTCATTCAACTTCTTTCTGAGAAAAATGTCTTACTAGATGTTTGTTAGAGATGTTATGTAATCTCTTTTTTAGAACTGTTAAAGAATAGTATAGATATTTGTATACGTATTTAATTTAGATATGTTGTCTAAAAATTGGAGGATAGTGGCTTTAAGTCTTTCAACAAAAAAGTCATGGCTTAATTGCACACCAAATACACTCAGTCCCTGTCAGTGCAGTCCCTGTCTGTCAGTGTAGAGGAAAAACAAATATAAACAGACTATAATTGAATAAATAAGTACTGTTTTCAGTTATCATATGTATAATATGTATATGTGTCATAATCTATAATTATCTGTACTACAGAGGTGATCTTAAACTGGTACTTTAGCCTGCAAATACCTATTTTATGTTTGGGGACCAGCTCACCCAAAGGGATTGATGTATTGTTTGCAAATTACTTGGGGACATTAAATTCAGCCTTGGATCAGTATCTTGGGTTCTTTTGAAAGCCCAGGTTACCTAGAATTATTTGGAAGAAGTTACTAGTCAAAATATTCTATGTTACGGAATTAAATTAATCCTGAAATCTCAGGTTTAGATTTATTATTCACTCGAAAATCTCTTCAAGCTGGAATCTAGTCGTCTTGACATGACTCCACTATTTTTGATAACTTTTTTGCTTTCTCCTATAACAAGATGTTTCAGACTTGTACAATTTCTCTCCTAGACTTCAAATCAGCTATTGCTTTGGGTAATTCTGGTACCTTTTAATGGAGAATCTAAAGATTGAAAGGACCTTCAAGTTGGTCATTGTTTGTAGTTTTGGGTTTTCTTCTTTTAAAAATATGTCAGTAGTACTTATTTTTTAAATTTGGAATGTGTTATACAAATGAAAGGTTATAGATACCCAGTTTAAAGAATAATGATAAAACAAATACCAGTACACCCACCAACAAACTTAACAAATAAAACCAGTACTTTTGAAGAACCTGTACCTTCCCCCAATTGTAACCATTTCCCAGCCACCTGGAGGAAATCATTATCCTGAATTTTCTGTCAATCTTTTCTTTTCTTTTCTTTCTTTTTTTTTTTTTTTTTGAGACGGAGTCTCGCTCTCCTGCCCAGGCTAAAGTGCAGTGGCGTGATCTCGGCTCACCACAGTCTCTGCCTCCCGGGTTCAAGCGATTCTCCGGCCTCAGCCTCCCAAGTAGCTGAGGCTACAGGCACACGTCACCATGCCTGGCTAATTTTTGTATTTTTAGTAGAGACAGGGTTGCACTCTGTTGGCCAGGCTGGTCTCAAACTCCTGACCTTGTGATCCACCCACCTCAGCCTGCCAGAGTGCTGAGATTACAGGAGTGAGCCACCACGCCCTGCCCGTAATCTTTTCTTTATAGTTTTTTTAAAAATATAAATTTTGTCACAAAACTGTGTATTTTTTAAACTTGCATGTATTCTGTGACTTGCTTTTTCAACACTTTTGTTTCTTCTATGATAACCCATGTTGCTGTAGTTCATTTCTTTCCTCACCATTTAGTAAGCAATTCATTCTGTGATTGTTCTTGGTTTATCTGTTCTGTTGTTAATTAATATTTGAGGTATTTCTAGTTTTTGGTTCTTGGAAACATACTATCATGAATAAATGTATATGTGTAAGAGGTTAAGGTATATGCCTAGGGGTAGAGTTGCTGGTAATGCACATTGTTTTCCAAAGTAATTTTCTCATCCCTTACCAGCAGTGGATGAGAGTTCCCATTACTGTCACTTGCAGTGCCTGGTATGGACAGGTTTTTAATTTTTGCTAGTCTGATATTTGTAAAATGGTATTTCAGTGTGGTTTTACTGGCTATTATCCTGATGTTTAATAAAGTTGGACACATTTTTCTATGTTTATTCGTTTGTCTTCTCTAAAATGCTTATTTAGATCTTCTGTTTATTTTTATCTTGGATTTTGAGGTTTTTTTCTTATTAAATGAGAGGAGTTCGTCACACATTCTGGATACTATCTTTTTTTGGTTATATGTGTGTTGCAAAATATCTTCTCTTGGTTTATGACTTTTTTTTTTTACCATCTTTAGGTATCCTTTGAAGAAAATTATAGTTAAATTTACCAGTTTTGTCTTTATGGTTTGAGCCTTTTATATCATGCTTAAGAAATCTTCTATACCATAAAATTGTGTATATATTCTCATTATTTTCTTTTCAAAGGTTTTAAAGTTTACTTTTCATGTTGAAATCTGTAATTCATCTGAAACAATTTTTGTGTACGGTTTAAGATAATTATATATATGTATTCAGCATGGTTATTAAATAGTTACTGTGCTCTTATTTCATTTAAAATCAAGCTTGCAAGTAGAAGTCTCAGGCAACAGATTAAACCAGCAGTGACTATAAAGCTACACCTTAATCAAAATGGAGATCACAACACCAGAGTTCTACAGACAGACCCAGCCACCCTGCTGCATTTGGTTCAACAACTGGAACAAGCACTGGAAGAGATGAAGACAAACCACTGTAGGAGAGTTGTTCGCAACATCAAGTAGTTACCAGTTTTAAGGTTTTAATTCATTTGAATCACTTTTGAATTGATGATATACAGCAATTACTTTTCAAAATTAATTTTTTATTAATTCATGATGATAAATACATAGTATTCCTCAGTATCTATTCCAAGATACTGAGGTCATAATCAGAAGCTAAGCTGGGTGCAGTGGCTCATGCCATTAATCCCAGCACTTTGGGAGGCTGAGGTGGGCGAATCATGAGGTCAGGAGATAGAGACCTTCCTGGCTAACATGGTGAAACCCTGTCTCTACTAAAAATACAAAAAATTAGCCAGGTGTGGTAGCACGCGCCTGTCAGAGTCCCGGCTACTCGGGAGGCTGAGGCAGGAGAATTGCTTGAACCTGGGAGGTGGAGGTTGCAGTGAGCCAAGATTGTGCCACTGCACTCCAACCTGGGTGACAGAGCGAGACTCCATCTCAAAAATAATAATAATAAAGTAAAAATAAAAGTAAAAAATAATCAGAAGCTAAAGTAAAGTTCCTTTCCTGGTGCTAACTGGTTATCTTGACACATTAAGATGTATTTTGTATTTTAAGAGTCTCATGCTCTACCAATGGAACTAGCCAGACGGCCATTATTTTGTATTTTAAATATGTGAATAGGATTGAATCAACTAGAAATGAATCTATATGTTCTGTATATATGCATGACTATCTTGTTTTTGCTACTTCTTTTGACTGCTTAACTTTATTATTTTCCTCTTTATTGATCAAATTTGAAAATAAAATTCATAATGTAATACTATTACTATGCAGAATTTTCTAAACAGTTCAGTATTTTTGACTTTTAAAAATAGCCCACAATGTTAGTAGCCACAGAATATTGAACATCAGTATGATTTTTAATGCCATATTGTTATAGGCAGTTTATTCATTTTTCTTTGTATGTGAAGATAAGTATTTATCATATTGCCTAAGTTTGAGTGATCGTGGTTAATTAATTGGCTTAAATAGTACTCAAATTTGTGTGGTCGTCTATTGTGTTTTATCAAGGACTAATTTTTCCACCATACCCAAAGCATCTAGGAGACACTCTGTCATTTACATTTACAAATAGTGGAAGCAGAGAAATATAATCAATTCTTGATTGTCCTGGATACAAATTATAGTCACTTTTAATAATTTGAATAAACTATGATGAGGGAAGGAAGACCATGTTTATTACATTATAGGCAACTATCCCTTCTCCTTTACGAACTTGATTTATGTTTTGTTTTATTTTTTAGTAGGGAACCAAAAGCTTTTGGCCTGAAAAACTCAGGTGCTGATTTGTCAGGTCAACCTGAGAGAGTGCAGAGACACAGAGGCCGACTTAGGGAGAAGAATTGTATGGAAGGGTGGAAGTGAGGGTTCAGTCTTAACTATGTATCCAAGGCCTTATCCTGAGAGTCTTCATGGAATAATCTAGAAAGGACTGTAGAAGCAATCAGACTCTAAACTGCACTCTAGACTTTTTACTTTACCTCCTAAGAATTAGGGATTTTCATGTCAGAGTGATACCATGTTGCAATCTCTTTAGAGAAGAGAGAGCCTAGCAGGGAATAGGCCAGTGGAAGGAAAGCATACTTGAAATGGCTACCCATTGGTCCCTGCAGGCATCCGGGCCACCCTTTTCCTGTAGGTACATGTTCTGCTGTTGTAAAATAACTATATTATTAGATGTCAGCAAACTATAATCACAAATAATTTTTAATTATATTGGCAACTTGATTAATGAAACTCTCTTATATACAACCTCACAAACAAAAGGAAACTTTATCTGTTACATGAAATAGTAGCATATGTCATTGGGTTTAAAAGCAACATGCCTGCAAAGCTTATGTGATAAAAAATACTTCTGTGAGGCTTTTTATTTGTCCACATTCGATGGAAGATAAACATGGCTGACCCCAGCCAAGACTGAAACAGCCCTTTGTCTCCTCAGAACAACCTATCTCCAACTCTTTGTCCACTGTTCTTACCCCAATTAAAACAAGAAAACATGTGCTGATCCTTAATTTTTATCAACCTCCCTTGGCCTCCTTTCACTGTACTCCATTATTCCTTCTGCAGTGTTCTACCTTCTTCACCTTTTGAGACCAGGGTGAGTTGGGAGCAGTTTGCCTACCTTCTTTTAGAATCTGGGGCTTATCTTTTAGTACAAGCCATTGAATGAGCCTCTTCCTTTTTTTTTGCTCAAGCATTCCACATCCTTGTGGACTCCCCTGCGTTGTTTGTTTTATATAACATTTGATATTTGTTGTAGCTTGTATATGAACATAATTTTCTGTAGAGGTAGTCACTGTTCTACTCTCCAATATGACCCAGGTTTCTTGACTCTGAGTAATGCGCCTTCTATTACTACCTAAATTTCTATTGAAGCTTTTTGGATTATGAGTATGCTGACTTTTCACGATTGGCTGGTTCATATTTAGATTTAAATGTCATATCCTTCATGTTTCAAAGCCAAAATAATAACATCTCATCTCAGAACAGAGCTGTGAGCACATGCCAATATATGTGTCACAAAGTCTACATATGTTACATTCCTTGGAAGTCTCTTTAAATGTTTCACAAAATGTCAAAAAGCTTGTTTTGTTAGAGATTGGTCACATTTAAGATAGTAAATGGGAAAGGTGGTGAAGATGCTATAAGAAGATGCTGTATCTTGAGAATTGAAAAATGAGAATCTGACATGGTTTGAAAAACCATGAAGGGTGTGTATAAAGGATGCATGTGTAGGAGCCCTTAAAATTCATAACAGTATGTGTCCTTTTAGCGTTTTAATCTTATGAAGAGGTTAAGAGATAAGTCTTCAGAGTTGGACAAAAAGATTTGAATTTAGTTTCTGTGGCTTATTATGGGTCCTTGATAAATTCTCAAAGCCTTTTTTTTTGTTCATCTCTAAAATAGGGATATAGGATTACCTACCACATTGGCTCATAAGGACTATATGAGACCATGTATATAGAATGTTTAACATAGTACCAGGCTTTACAAAGAACTCAATAAATGTTTACCATTATTGAAATAGTTTTGTAGACTGAGAATCTCATTATTTTATAGTCTTGAATTATGTCCTGTATACTCTGTTAAATAAACTGAGAAAAAATGCTAACTGGTTGTTTCTGGGTGGCGGAATTATGGCTATTTCTTTTCTTTTTTAATTTCTATAGTAAGTTTGAATGACTTTCATAATATTTAGGAAGAAAATATTAAAGAAAAATCAGGGAATTTAAATATATTTTTAGTAGATATTTTTACCCAAACTGAATTCTTACAATGATAAACACATAGTTTACCAGAAAACTCAGCTGTTCAAAACTACTCAGTCCCTGAAGGACTCAGGTAAACAGGCTGAGGGTTTTATATATAGAGTGCTCTAGAGTTTCCTTTTTCTGTCCTTTTTTTCCTCCATGTTAGTGAAAGAAACATGGGAATCTTAAGACGTTAAGCTGTTTCTCCTTTTCTAGGTAATATTACTTCTAAATGGAGAATTGTTTGTGTTGTTTTTCATCTAGAATGAAAACAGTATTTCTTTGTAGATTTTCACATCCCTTATGGTCAGGAAGTTCTGTCAGCTGCTATATTAAAGTCCTCCTGCTATAATTTACTCAGTCTTCTCTGTACTTATATGAATTTGATTAAGTCTCTTCCAGAGTTTCCATAATCATAGATTATTCTCACATCTTTCTTCCACCAACAGTAGAAAATATTTTGGTAGAAATGTTATGATACTACATTGCCTCTAACTTAAATGTGTTCATTTTTAAAACCATCATGACTTATATTCAAACTTCAATACTTTTCTTAGAACAAAACAAATGAACTTAACTCCACCATTAATGTAGTTAGTTCAGTAAGCTTTATAAATTTTGAAAGTAATGTTTGAATTATAAAGGCAGAATAAGCCCATTATTTTCCATCTTTCAAAAAATTCTGTAAGAGAAAAAATACTATATGGCACTAAAATGTGTATTTAATGATTTGATCACTGAGTAGTAATGGCTCTTTGTTCTAGATTTTTGCAGCTCCTCTCTACCCAGGAACTCCAACTATACCTTAAGTATGCACAACAGCCATGAGTCCGTAAGTTTTGACATACCATAATGGGGAAATATAGAAAAAGTAATTTTATATCCTTAATAGGTTAAAAGGCAGTATCAATAATACAAATATCTACGTTAATGTACTCTAAAACTTGGCTTTTACTTGAGTTGTTGCCATTCTAAACCCAAGCAACTTTTTAATAAGATGAACTCCTTTTTATAATTATAGTGTAAATTATGTTTATTATTAGAAATATTACTGATTATATGACCACCAGAGTGAGAGACTGTGCTTTTTTATTGTGCTTGAGCCTAAATTGACATTTTTTAGTTGCAAAGACTACACTTTTCACTTTATTCTCTGGCAGTTATCATATCCTCTGTTGCAGAAGAGTCTGCCCAGCAGCCAAAAAGGGAAGTAACAGAAAAAAAATTTATGCCTTATCTCACCATCCATATGAGGCCCTTTGACCTTTGAAATTTTTTTTACTCTGTTACACTGAGCTATAAACTACCCACTTATGCATGGTATTATATTGATAACAAAGCACATTTTGAAACCTTTTCTGCCTTTTTTACATGGTACAGATTCAGTTTTGTTAAATGCTAAGTGCTTAGAGTGACCCATATTGTGTGTTGAACAAAGGATAAAGTTGTAGTCTCAGAATTTAGAATGCTCTTAGGCCATTCCATCCTCTAAAATAGTTTAATCCATAAGCTCATTAGGCTGCAGAAAGGAATCTCCTGAGAGAGTTATTCTGAAGAAGGGAAGTTCCTCTGGTCTGGTGTCTGCTAGAATTGCTTTTCCTTGAAACTCTACCTTCTTCTGGAAGGCAGAAATCTAACATGATTCAATGGCTACAGCTGTGGAAGTGTGCAGAGGAAAGGTTAAATCATTATAGAATGCTCAGGAATACTTTGACAGAAATTATCCTTACTCTTTTTCCATTGAAGTGGGGTCCCCTGAGGTAACCAGAGGTGTGATGGGAAAAGCAAATCAAGTTCTTTTTTACCTGCATGCCAATGTTGTGATTGTCATAAGTCCAATGAGAAGTGGAATCCTGTGGTTTTGAAGGAATGTGCTTAGTTCACAGAATGAAAACGCTTCTCAGTTAACTCAAAGACTAAACACACAGATTAAAATTCAGAGAATGAGGAAAAGAAAATCCAGGGAAGTCTGAGTTTCATTGGAGCAAGTATAGATGGTTAGGATATGATTTCCTGACATGGTCTGAAAACCGTATTCTTTCATTCCAAATAAAAAATTCTTACAAAGCTCAAGTGAGTTTAAGTGCTGCACCACAATAAAATGGTTTGATTTGCAGTTGAGACTTGGCACAATTCATAGACTAAAATAGAGCTTAAGAAAAGCTGCAGGCATTTTTTTTTTTTTTAGTATCTGGGGGGAAAAAATGAGCAAGTCCCCATGTACTTTTCAAAAAGACCAAAATTTATCTCCTGGTATGAGCAATGTAATTAAAACCTTTTTTTTTTTTTATGTTTAGGTTTTCAAGAATATAATTATTGGGTATTCTTTTCTATGCTTGTTTCATCTACTCTTTGTTTTTACCAAGGGATAAATACTAAATTCCATGCCTTTCTTAGGTCCTTAAAACAATTTATTTTCATGCCAAACCTCTCATTAAGCCTCCTCCCCTTCTTTTTAAAAATTATTTTTTATTGAGTTAAAATTCACATAAAATTTACCCTTTCAAAATGTACAATTCAGTGGCTTTAGGATGTTCACAAAATTATGCAACCATTACCACTATCTGATTACAGAACATTTTCATCATACCCAAAAGAAACCTGTAATTATTAGCAGTCACTCTTCATTTTCCCCTCTTCTAGCAACGACTAACCTACTTTCTGTGGATTTGCCTATCCTGGATATTTCATATAAGTGGATTTATAGAATATATGGCCTTTTGTGTCTGGCATCTTTCACTTAGCATAATGTTTTCAAGGTTCATCCATGTTCTAGCATGTATCAGTATTTCATGATACTGAAATACTGAGCCCTTTATGACTGAATAATATTCCATTCTATGGGTACTCCTTTTCACAGTATTTTAACAAGCCTTAGTCTTGATCTTACTGTGGATTATAATCTGTTGCAGTTTATGTTCATAAAAGAACTTCTGATTTAGTAATATATTTTCTATAATTATAGTTTTTTAGAATTATCTTTTCCAGCATGGTGGCTCACACTTCTAATCCCAGCACTTTGGGAGGCCAAGGTAGGTGGATCACTTGAGGCCAGGAGTTCGAGACCAGCCTGGCCAAGTAGTGAAACCCTGTCCCTACTAAATATACAAAAAATTAGCCAGGCATGGTGGCAGCTACAGTAATCCCAGCTACTCAGGATGCTGAGGCAGGAGAATTGCTTGAACCCAGGAGGCGGAGATTGCAGTAAACTGAGATCGCGCCATTGTACTCCAGCCTGGGCAACAAGAGCGAAACTCCATCTCAAAAAAAAACAAAAAAACAAAAAAACTTCCCAGATACAAGTTGGAAGAGTCTGAGAGCAATTTCTTCTTAGTCAGTTATTAGAAGAGTTATTTTCCAGAGGATTGTGTTTTATTTTTAGCCTTATTCAAAAGTTATACCAGCTAGGAAGTTAGATGAACTATCAAGGAGACTTAGCTAAAATCAGCTCTAAAGAAAATTAGACCAGTATTACAGTCAGTCTCCACATCTTAGGTTCCACATCTATGTATTCGATCAACCACAGATCACAGGTATTCAAAAATATAAAAATAATATAACAAAAATAATACAAAAGAATTTAAAATATAATATAACAACTATTTACATGTCATTTACATTAGGTATTACAAGTAGTCTAGAGATAACTTCAAGTATAGGGAAGGATGTGCATAGGTTATATGCAAACACAATGCTCCTTGCCTTATGACGGGTTTACCTTTCGATACTTTCTATTTACAATGGGTTTATCCAGATGTGTTCCCATCATAAAGAGCATATTGAATGCATATATTACCATCCTAAAGTCAAAAAATCGCAAGTTGAACAATCAAAAGTTTGGGACTTTCTGTACTACACCATTTTATGTAAGGGACTTGAACATCCACAGATTTTTGTATCCTCAGGAGTCTTAGGACCAATGCCCTGTGGATACCAAAGGACAACTGTATATCCTTTTAAATTTTAAATTAATAGATTTTCTACTAAAATGAGTGATGTTGTGGGCATTTGGTAGATTTAGAAAAGATAGTAAAGTAACTGAGGATTTATGTCTTCCTATAGTCATCTTGTGTTTTTCAAATTAGAAAGGTAAAACCATTAAAAATTTCTTTGTCTATAGTGGAATAGAGAAAAGGGCATTTGCTTTTCCGTAAGTTCACACCTCAGAATATTCTAAATGAATTTTGAAATAGCCACATTGGGAGATCTTCAGGACACTGCTCCCCAGATTATGAAGCTGCTTCAGCCACTGCCTTCCAAAGCTCACAAGCTGCTGGAGGAAATGGAAAGGTACATAAACATCAACAGTTCAGTTAGAATGTGTTAGGCAGATGAAGAGCTACAACAAATAAGGAGCTCTGCATTTATAAGAGAGGAGACATTAGTTTTCACTAGGTACATCAAGAAGGTGCTTTTTTTACTGATCATTTTGCTGTTTTGATTACACCCCAATTTATGTGTGGAATATGCTCTTCCCAATTGGCTGTAGTTTGATGGGACTGTCAGACATGGGACCACGCTCTCTGCTATCCACATTGAGGCTATAAGTCTCTCCTAGAACTCTGAAACTCTCACACTGAAAGGAATGGTTGACACAAATTCATTTTAGTGACCTGGCCAAATGTTTGATGGCCTGATACATAGCCTCATGAATCTACTCCTGCTCCTGTCCTTTATGGACCAGGTCTTAGGTCTGTCCCTTGATTCTGCAGAGTACCTAATGCATTTTCAAATTCATTCTCTGCTTAGGTTACAGTCTTAGGGTCTAACCCTAAAATGCTATAGAGTGTAACAATACAATTACATTAATTTTGCAAAATTGCATACTTTATTACACAAAATGGAATTTTTGTAAAACAGC